AGTGGAGTGTGATTGCTGAAAACTAAACAGCAGCCCCCACCCCTGCCCTCCTCCCCATCAGCTGGTAACAGCTTTTCTTGTGAACCTCTGTGGAAAACCGACAACACAAACATCATCTTCCATTCCTTTTCAGCTTCTTGCTTGCTTTTTATTTTTTTTCCTGTGGGACTGGGGGAGATACAAGCTACAGTACAAGGCAAGAGGATTAGTTGAAATTTATTGCAAGGGCTGTAATTTAAATGACTATTTGAAAGGAGGTAAGAAAAAAAATGTCTGGCAGAAAGCCCTTAAGCATGTTCATGACTTCTCATTTTGCCTTCTCTCTTTCTTGTCTTGTGACTCTTCAGTAATACACTTGGTGTAATACTTTATTTTGGATAAAGTATCGCTAGGTGTGTCAGAATGGTTAATTCTTTTCTAGTTATACTGTCGTTTTAAAATTGCATGTCATTTATCAGATCTGTCATATGAATTAATAGTTTTCTAGCCTGTAACGTGGGTTTGTCGGGCAAAAACTCTTATCCCATCAGGCTGTTATTCAATCTGAGATTGGCCTTAAGAGACTGTTCCTCCTAGTTGTTTGTTGAGGAGTATCAAGTTTTATTACATGATAATAAAAGCCAGTTTTCTGGCTTTGTTCTTGGACCTGTCCAAAATTGGGAACAAAACCAAAAGCACAGTTGATGCTTTTTGTCCCTTCTTTCCCCCATCTCTTGTGCAAAGGGTGTTTTTAATTCAGAACTTGTTGGTTCATTTTCATAACCTGTGAGATGTAGCCCTTGGGGTTAGCACTTCCCTTCAGTCCTGGCCTACTTCAGAAGACAAGGTGACCCCGCATGTCATTTAGGCACCTGGGTATCGACTGAGAGATGGCAGCTAGTTTGCTGTGGAGTTCTTGTGTTGGAAATACTTTTTAAATTATTATTATATTTTTATTTCTTGATCAAGATTTTGCAAAAACAGGCTGTTTGTCTTACTTTGGTTTCTCCCAGGGGACTTTTTGCTTGATTAGGCTTAGCGATCTCCACCAGACAGGGCCTTCTGATGTGGCATAAGGGACATGGGAAGCCTGAGGATCTCGTCCAGTATGTTCTGAGGCTTTGTGTTTGTAGAGATCCAGTTCCATTTTTGGAATCCCCGTCAACAAAATTGCTGCCCCATGCTAGCAGTCAAACTGCCTTGTGGAGAGTATCCCTTTTCTTTGAACCCAGGAGTGTGCTGTTATTATTTAAAGGTTGAGTTTTTCTGTGGATTTGGGGAGCTGAAATGAGATTCTGTTAATAAAGTATGTTAAAGCTAAGAACAGTTTTGCAGTAATTCTTCTAAAATGGTACTTAGTCATTGCCCATTGCTTTCCTTCCCACCCACTCCCTGCTATGAACTGATGGAGTATTTCTCTAGCTGTTTTATATTCAGGAAGCTGTAGTGTTGCATTATGGAAGCCTTCTGGATATATTTAATGGTTAAAGGTATGTGATAAATTGGCAAGGAAGAGGAAAAATGCCTCTTAGTCAGAAACTGTTTTATTCAACTGTTGAGTTTAATTTTGCAGTTTGATTTCTATATTCTGTTTAGCTTGATAATTGGTACTGAAAATATTAATGTAAAATTTGGGTTTTCAGAAATGTCTTCTACTGCTTTCAAGTTCCAGACTTCCACTATTTCTTAAAGAAAACATTTAATTTGGGTAGCGTTAGAAGTGACAGATCCACAGAGCAAGACCATGCTCGAAGATTTCTGTCGGCTTAGTTTGTGGGATTTTGGTGATAGGTGCTTTCTTCTGAGCTTTTGAAGGGTTTCTGAGACACAAAATAATGGGTGCCTGATGACTGAAGAGCATCTTTACTTTTGGAAAGGAGAAACATTTAAAGATGATGAATTAGCTAAACAATCAGAACTTATGATTGGCTCTTTGACACACGCAAAATTGGCCCCCATGGACAACGGTCACTTACACCTGGGCTGTACATTCAGCGTCCATGCCCAGTTAATGTGGAAAGTGGTGCCAGAGGAACTCTGTTTTGGTTGGAAGTTCAGGACCAGCTTATACATATTGACCAGATGTCCTGTGGGACAGGAGATGATAACTTGTGACAGAAGAGACGCCTTACTTTGTTTATTTGCTACTGTGAATGGGTGGCAGAACAGTTCATGGCAGCCCTGCTTAGTTTGTTCTTTAATTAAAGATGGCAGCATTTCTTTTCTGTTCTTGTCAGTCTTTATAATGCTTGTACCTTGTGCAGCAGCTGAGAAGATGACCTGTCCAATTTAAGCTATTTGGGGAATAAAAAAAGAAAAGAGGGGAAAGCAGTATTTCCAAAGATACAAAGTTTCAGTAATCTCCTGCTGCATTTTGTGGCTGATCTCCAATACCCATGTCTGCATCTATTACATTTTCTTTTCTTTGCTATTTTGGATCCCCCTGATTTCTCTAGCAAAAAATAACAATCTTGTCCTTAAAGTTGTCCTTGTCAAACAACAAAGGCTTTTTTTCACTTGACTTAGTTAAGCCAATGCAAAACACAGGGACAAGCTTTCAATTCTTATTTTAAACTTTGCATGGTTTAACCGATTGATTCACAATTTAGTCACATTCAGACATACGTAGCTTGAATATTCTTCACTCAATGTTACGTTATGCTCTGTCTGAAGGAAATTCAAGCTGGAGCAACTTTGACTGTAGTTCAAAATAAGCAACATCAAGTTAATAGCCTTTGTGCCTGAAAGTTGGCTTTTTATATGTCCTCTTTCTGACAAGGTTTCCTTCAGAAGCATTAATTAAACTATTCACACAGGCTTTATAACGTTGAAATGAAAGCTGGTTAGACAGGTGGATTGACGCTCTTTGGTCGCCCTTCTCCAGGAAGTCAGCATTGTACTTGGGGAAGTTGGGGCAGTGGTGGGACCGTGGAGAGTGGTGAATTGAACTTCTTGTAGTGCGAAGAGTTGAAGTATCCCATGCAGGTTTTATTTAGGATTAAAGGGCGAGGGTGTGTTTGTATAACAGGCAAGCATGTCTCATAACTTGTTCCAAAGAAAATCTTGTCTATAGTGTGGTAATTGAGGAACCAGTGTCTAGACTGCTTTGATAAATTGTAAACATGATGTCTTCTGAACAAAACCATGAGAGTTTATGAAAAAATGCTGCATGTTATATCTTTAATATTAGACTGAACTTCAGGGAGATCGGAAGTATTTTGACAATATTTGTCCTGCCTGCTAGATCAAATACCAAAAGAATGCATATGGCAGCCCACAGTAACATCTTCTTTCTCGAATGCTTTGGATTTACATGATTACATGATGTAAACTACGTATTTGTCAGGAATGGGAAGTCTTTTAAATAGTGGTGCAGGGGTTTATGTGCATCTTCATTTTCTTCAGCTATTTATACATGCTTGAGAATCTTCATATAGAGCTGATCAAAACTTTACAATTACAAGCTAATGAGGATATATATACATATACACACACTTTTATCCTACTACCATTAGTTTTGAACACTTTAATCTGAAGAATACTAAAACAGTTTTAGGAGACAGGACAGATAAATGTAGTTTTATGTTCTGTATATTTTGTTAGTGACTGACTGGTGCGCTTACTGGACCATTGGAAGAGCTCAAATATAGCCATGTTATTATTTCCATCATTTAAAGTCTTTACAACTGAATTTGGTTGGTTTTATTTCAGTGTGGGGAAGTGAGGAGAGATTAGTGTTTCAAAGAAGGATGTGTTTGAGTTCAGATAAAGCTATTGTTTTATTCAGGCTTTATCAAATGAAGTGAAAATACCAATCCCAGTGATCCAGTGTATTTATAAATACAGTCCAAATTCTGGTGTCAGGAAACTTTAATTGGATATTATATTAAATGAACAGTTTCCATTTTACACCAAGTACTATTGTGGGTTACTCATAGTATGCTGAACTTAAGTCAGTCCCTAAAAGAATGCATGTATTGAATCTCTGCAAAGCTGTCATCATTCTAGGTATTAAAATACTTATATATTATAGGTATTGCACCTATATTATATTATACATTTGTCTATACAAATACTGAAGTTGTTGGAACCATATCCCATGTGTAATTGAAATTATTATATTAATAGCTTTTCTGTAAAGGAATTTTATTGTAGCTTTTAGAGGGAAACACTATCTTTGCGTTTAAATGATGACTACAATGTTTCCCAAAGTGTGCTTTGGGAAGTAGATATGATTCAATTGACTGTTGTGGATTTTTATTTGCATCACTTGTTTTTCCTATTTTCATTTTCCTTGGTGTCGTAGAACAGCATTGCTACATAGTCTTTCTTTAGAATTAATAACCATGTGTTTTCAGTATTCCTGTACATACCAAAATTGTTGTGGTTTTCAATTACCCACAGGTCTGTCAGGATTTTGCTCAGGAAGGGACGTGTGTGACATTTTAAGCTTTTAGATAGGAGGTGCCGTTACCTGTTAGTTACTGTTTCTGCTCTAGTGCAGTTCAGAATTGGTTTTAGACATGTGTTTATATCCCTTTCCTTATGTTTTGGGGAAGAGGAAGTAATTTGGATGAGTCAGGACCAAAGGAATATCATTAATAGTAGCTGGAAATGTATAACTGAAAATAAATCAATAGCACTATATAATATTTATTTTTTAAGGACAAACAATTATACCGCTTTGACACCTTAAAGAGGTTAAAGCCTATAAAGCCTCTAATATTTTTCTAGTAGTGATGAACTCCAACTTTCACATTTGTGTTCTTTGCAATATGGGAGAAAAACTGGCAGGACTGCATGCCATCATAATTAAATTGTTAAACATAGAAACTTGAAGGTAGAAGCTCGTCTTTCCTGTTTGGGAAGTATCTGTCAGCATATTTAAAAACTGTATGTTTGTAATTATTAGCCCATTCCTAAGCAGTATAACTATTTTGTGATCAGATCATGGTGGTATCTTCAAATCATGTAATAACTGCACCTTTTGTATTTACATGTGTTTATTTTTGTTTTTACAGGATTACAAAGCCATTGACATTTGCTGACTGTGTTGGGGATGAGCTTCCTTTAGGATGGGAAACTGTTTACGATCAACAGATTGGAGTTTATTATATGGACCACATAAATCGTGAGTAGATGTGTGGTTATTTTTAGGAGCACTAGCAAGCTGATGTTAACTGATGGCACTAACTTTGTTTCCGATACCATTTATGCAACTCATGTTACAGTGAGGGAATGCATGCAAGTAATTTCTTGTACTATCTCTTTCGTCATCTTTCAAATGGGGCACAACCCTTCTTCCCTTTGTAAATAATTTTATAATCGATGATTGAGATATAGTGTATAGAGTTACTTTGTTTTTCTTTGTCAAACTGTGGACTGTTGGTGGTAATTTTGTTGCTTTTTATATTTATCAAGATTTTCATGTTATACTCTTGCACTTCCTAGCTTTCCAGTGATCCATAGTTTACTCTTCTGTCTCAAAAAAAAAATAAATAAAAAAAAAAATCTGAGAGACAAGTGCTGATTTTTTTAATTAGAAGCAATATGAAATACAGCAATCTCATTTGCTCTTAAGCAGTGTAAATTTTATGCTTTAATATAGTACAAGGTACTGTCAAGAAGGACAACAGGTGACCCTCTGAGAAACTAAGGGAATGATTTCCATAATTTTCTCTTCTGGACTACTGCTGAGCTTTGTATCACCACGGAGCTGGCACATGTGCCAGTTCTACTTTTAAAGTAGTATGCCTTAACTTCACAGCTTTGTACTGCTGCTGCAGTTACTACTCTACTCTGTTGCTGTCATTGAGCATCTTATCACTAATGAGTGAACGCTTTCAGTATTGTGGGAATTGATGTTTGATGAGGAGGGAGAAAAGAAGAAAGTAGCTATATGAGCTATCACAGTAATGGTAAATAGTATAGTCTGCACAAGCAACCTCAGTGCTATCTACTTGAAATCTAATCTATTTAAAAGAGAAATGTAGAATTGTTTTTTGGTTTCCTGCCATCACTAGAATTACTTGTGTATTGTGGTTTAACAATTATTTAAAAAACAACAAAAAAAAAAACCACAGCACAACACAAAAACACCAGAATAACAAATGTTATTTATTATACTGTTTGACCCTCATATGCGCTTATTTGTTGTGAAGTTAGCAGCTATCCCAAATTAAATAACACACTTTGAAGAGCTGTTAGTGCACTGATCATAAGGATAGATAAGCTAGGCAATTTAAAATCAACAAATGCAAGTAGTTAGGTAATTCTTACAAAAAGTTCAACTTAAAAGAAATAGTAACTTAATGGCTGCTATTTAAATTGTCATGGTAACTTTAGTTAATGCTGAATAAAAAATTAGGTTTATGTTGGAGTCTATTTGCACCAACATGTATGTGCATCAAGGCGCATATTTAATACAACAACAATGAAAAACATGAGGATATTGGCAACTGTTTTTTTCCTTAATCTTTGTAAAAGGCATTAGAAGCCACTGTGAATAATGAGTAGAACATGAACTCCTGTTGCAATGCTGTGACTAAAAGAGCTAATAAAGCATCCCACCAATAGGCACCTTTGATAGGAACAACAATCACCATTGCATGCAAAGGAAATCACTCCCTTTTGTTTTTCAGACTTTGTTATTAGCTGTTTTACCACAGACATCAAGTTTGAACTTAGAGTAAGGATATTAATCATTGTAGGCATGTCAGATCTGGCTTGCATTTTTTTCTGTGCAATTCAGAGCAAAAACTGTCGAAGAGAGTCTTTGCAGAGAGAAATTAAATTCCCAAATGATCGATGGGAAGGCACAGAAAGAGAAGATTAATATAAATGAGTCTGGGAACATAAAGCTAAGCGTATTAGGAATTAAATAAAAGTAGTTTATGAACCAAGGGATAGAGACTTCATAGGGCCAGTGCTGAGCTGAGTGAAAGGAATCATTCTGCAATTAACAAGGTTGCAAAATTTGTCTCTTTCATGATAACTAATTACTTGCAGCCCACAGATATTATCCTAAGTGGTAATTCAGCCGTCACAGCAAAATGGGTTTGTCACCCTTAGGCTAATACAGTGCTTGCATATACAAGCAAGATTTATATTCAGAGGGAAGACAGAGTTGATATTCTAGCTGGATTATCATTATTCAAAAATTACTGGGATACTCGGTCCAATTTTGAACTGTGGACATCAAAGGTACCAATCAGGATGGCATTAACTTCCTTTGTAGGAGTGAGAACTAATGACTGGGCCATCATGTGCATCACGGGACGGTGTCAGGCAAGTGGCAGAGGTGGTAGAGGAATGGAAGAAATGTCTTTCCAAAACAAGCCCCTTGCATTGTGTTCTGAAATACGTCTAAAATACTTGAAATAGCAACTTCCAAGTGAAAGCAAAGTTTATTCTTCAGACCTTCTCAGGCTGCCTTTAGCGACTGATCGGGTTTAAATGCTTTATACAGCACTGGAGCTGTGTTAATTGACGAAACAGTTACCAGTGCTTTGGTTTCAAGAAATCCCGTGAGAAAATGCAAGGAATGATTCAAAGAGATTCTTCTTAAAGTTATAATTATCAGGGAACTGTCATGCTTTGTGCATCCTCTCAGCTTTTTGCCCTTGCCCCTTTTAAAGAAAAACAACGTCTAATTTTTCCAAGCCTCCTCCTGTATTTGTTTACCCAGAAAGCAATAAAAAGACTTCCAGGCAATAACTTTCCATTTATATTGAAAAACCCCAGAAACAGAGGAATCTTCTGTAAATCTCAATGGTACTTCCAATCGTGATCTCCATCTTGTTCTGTAAATTCAGTACTTTGTTGACACCCTTGCTAAGCTACTCTTGGCTCTTGTCCAACCATTGCTTAAAAAACTGTGGCGGCTGCCAGCCGCAGAATTCCTTTCCCTCCTCCTCAGAGTCTTGGGAGCCTTTGAAGTCTCCTTTAACCAGTTGGGCATTCCCCAGTGGGGGAATAATATATTCTTTGCGTTTGTCTGGAGCTGTTCTTGAATTACTATAGTTGGTTTTTTTGTTTATTTTTAATTGTGTACAAAGAAACAAAGGAAGTGAATTTTATCATCCAACTTAGCTGTAGTTTCAGTTGTTACATGGCAAACATGTAGAAATCCGGGGCAAAGTGAAGCCTCTGTACACATAAAACAGAAGAGAATGTCACTGCTGTACCAGAGTTTTCTGTCCCAGAAGAACGCTGCTAGTTTTTGAGAAGGCTTCTGAAATTATTTGAAAAGTGATGCAGCGCCCTGTAGTACAGAACCTCAGAAACATAATGTTTCAGCCTTGGCTGTTTGTTGAGATTAGAACTATTAATTTTCTATTCCAAAAGAGCTGCTTACTATACAGCTCTTCTGTGTCATAAATGTTTATTAATTTCTGCATACTTTCCATAGAGGTTTAGCAGTTTTAGGAGTATTACATTTGCACAAACTTGAGGGACAGTGATGGATGCGATCGTGTTGCCAATTATCATGCCCTCTCTAAAGGATGGGCTGCAATGTGAACTCAGCAGTTTTCTCTGCTTGCCCTGCATGCAGAGACTGGGCACGTAAACATTTATGGAGACTGGAACAAGTCATGGCACATCCTGCCCTGGGCTGCAGAGGTAGCTTAGGGACATCGGAGTTGGGATGCTTTGGAGACTGGAGGTGCTGCTGGGAACAGAGGGTCACTGGGGTGTGGGGAATACATTGGAGAAATCACACAGCTGTAGGCACGATCCTCATACTGTTGCAATGTGAGGAGTTGTGGGGAGAGAAGAGTGTCAGCTGTTGAGAGAAAAGGTTATTGGGAACATAATACAGAAATTTGTTGGAAGTACTCTTCATAAACTAGCTTCATGTTTTTTTTTTTCTTTTTTTTTTTTTAAATCTACTTTTCAAATAACTCTCAAATGGTAGAGCTGGTAGCATGACCATGACACCATTAGAGATCTTAATTTGTTAAGGTCAATCTTTAATAATTTCTTATTTCATCACAAGCACCAACATTCTGAATTATGTATGCAAGATTAATATTAAACATAACTGGCTTTCATCTCTCGTGAGAAAAAAAGTTTGGAAAAAATGACTAGGTGCTTGCCTCCCGACTGTGCTGCAGGTTCTGCCACTGCTTTGACTACTGACAGTGCATCTGCAGCAACTTCAGTCATCAGGAGTTAACACTTAAACATGAGACTTTTCATGGACTTCCTCATGTAAAACATGTTTGCTAGCTTGAACATCACCACAAAGACAAAAGCAAGAGAACTAATAACATTTTTAGAATTTTATTGTATGTGTATTACAAATGTTTCTGGAACTCTGAAGGGATTGCTGTCAGGTAATAGCTTTGAAAATAAGCATATATAGGAACAAACTTTGTACTGGAATCCTATTTTAAATTTGTGTCTAAATACAAAGAGTTCTAAACTCTAGAAGGAGAAAGCTTGAAAGTGCTGTTTCTTAAAAACAAAACAAAACAAAAAAACAACAAACAAACAACAAAACAAACCACCAATGTAAATGTTTTTTCTGGATTTGGTATTAAAATGCAAACTTTTCTGTTGAATAACTTTGTTTTTGACTAGGCAGGTGTAGTCAGTAACCCTTTCGGGATGTTGAACCTGCAAAGCTATTTGTAATAATGTAAAGTAACGTCCCAGATGTCTTTAGAGTTAGGGGTTAAGCATTAAGATAACTTCTGCTTCCCAATGTGGTTCTGAGTTTTGAGGTAATTCTCAGATTTTTCAAGTCGGCTACAAAGGAAGGTAAAAATACTGTTTTCTTTGGGTATGTTCTCTTTTGTAAAGAAAAGAATCAAATTTAAATGCCTTTTACGTTTCAAGGGGTTTTCTTATTCTTCCACTCTGCATCCTTCCTTCCTCTTGTCCAGGCTGGAGTGATTTTGAGCACTGTAGTGTTAGGCATACTTGTTCTGTCCAGATTTTTGAGCATGTCACTCGTAAGCTGTGATGTAGACTTGTAGAACAGACCTTAACAAAATAATTCGTACTTCGTGGGATGGTGTCTTAAAAGATTTTTATGCTTTTCTCCTTAGAGCTCACACAAATTGAGGACCCAAGGGAGCAATGGAGAAGGGAGCAAGAACGCATGCTAAAGGAATATTTAATAGTTGCCCAGGAGGCACTTAATGCCAAGAAAGAGATTTACCAAATCAAGCAGCAGCGTTTTGAACTAGCCCAAGAAGAATATCAACAATTGCACAAAATGTGTGAGGACGACAGCCGTTCTTATGCTAGCTGTGAGTATGCCAGCCTTTTCTTGATTTATTGTGAATACAAAATGCAACGTGTGCAAACTGGTTTCACCACCATGTTCTGATCTGAATGAAAACCCTGAAAGCAGAAATGAGGCACAGTCCTTAGACTCTGCTATTCAAGGACTTTGGTTTCCCATTAGGCATTCCTGTTGGAGTATGCCTTTTTAACGTCATGCAGGGACATACCTCAACCAGCATCTCTAGCCATCTTGGAGCCAGCCATACTGAAAGCTTCATGAGAGGCAACAAAAGAATGAACGCTGCTGGGCCAGCCACCTACTGGCACTCCTAAATTCATAGTTATTCTTCTCTGGAGACTGGGGAGACAATCAGCTTCGGGGAAGTCTTCTGCAAATCTGTGGTCAGTTTATCAACTTTATAAAGAGTTCAGAACAAAGCTTTGTGGTCAAGAGTACCTCTGATGTGACAAGTTAAAACATCTTGGTGCACTAGGAAAGTTGTCTGACAAAAGTAGGCATTTCAGTAGTGCACCTGGGTCTGACCCTAATGCTGGCAGTAGGTGGCAGAACCTTGATGTCTTGCTCTTCTTGTTCCTCAGATGTCTGAGGCAGCTTGTGGTAGTAGATGGAGCACTTCTTCTGAAATCTGAAGTTGCACTGCTGTCATCACTCATGGCTAGTGCAACAGAAAAGGCATCTTCAAGGGGTCAAAACAGTCTAGTTCAAAGAAGTGTATCAGATAGATACACCCACCAGCCATGTGGAAACCTAGTGGAATTTCACTGCACGGGTGGCTTTTCTGTGACTGTGTGTACAGCCATTGTTCAACTGCAGCATTTGCTGGTAATTGCCAAATCCTTGGTAAATATGGGAACCTCTGCTTACCCCTTTCTGAAAAAGTTTAAGAAACCTGACCATGAGGGTTTAAAGCAGGCATCTGGATACAAGTGTTTAGATTTTGATACAACATTATTTATTAATCCCAGGTAATTCATTTGTACACATTAAAACTAACTAAAAGATGGTTATAAACCTGAGATGTCCCAGATGGTCTTGACCAGTCTTTACCAAGAGTTCTTTTACTGTTGAACTGAATTATCTCATCAGTTTATTTAGTTTTAAATATACGTACTTCTATGATTTAGTTTCTGACATGACAGGTATGACTGGTTGTATTTCTCCCTTTTATATGGAAGTTTCTTAAGAATTATTAAGAAAATATTTTTTTCTTCTTAAGACATTTTTCATTAAAAAAGAAAATATCATTCAAAGAACTTATTATTAAAAGACTTGGAGTGGGATAAAAAGATTGTGATTTCAGTATTTCAGATTATTAAATCTAAAGTTATTGCAATACTGTTCTAGAAGCTTGGGTTTTTTGTTTTTTAAAAATTGACAACAGTTCAGTTTGGTATTTTGTTGAATTATTTTGGGTGACTATACAGGAAGAAGATGCTTTTGAAGAAGGTAATATACCAGAATTTTTTTTTTCTCATATTTTTATAGCTCTTACGAAAAAATTTGAAACACCAACAAGATTGACTGAAAATGACTAAACTGGAATTTATCTGTAGCATGAGTGCAAACGTGTTGACTTGTGCTTCTAAGTCTTCTGGTAGTGTTTGTATGTGTATCTGTGAAATCGATAACAAGATACTGTAAGAATCATTTAAATAAAACCTTTCACTTTTTTAAAAGTGAAAAGATACTTTAATCTTCTACAGATGCATTAATTTATTTTATATTGCTTTGAGGTCATATGCATCTGTTTGGGGAAAATGGGTGGATTGATGATTCAGCGCATCATGTTGTTTTTTTTGACCGCAGTCTTTATTTATTTATTTATTTATTTTAATCCCTTTGGGGATTATTCATGCTGTCTACATGAGATTCCCCAAGGCTTCTACATTTGTTTTTCTTAATTCAGCCACTCCCCTGCACTCTGGGATGCTTGCTTCTCTATTTATTGTGCAGAAATCTCTGACTTCTAATTAGATAGCCAAAAGGTGGGCACTCATATTGTGAACGTTCATGCCTTCACCATCAGTTGTTTCAATCTGTTGTTAAAAATGTAAAAGTACACAAATTGTTTTCTTTCTCTTTTCTTGGGGATGTTGCTATTGCCTCAGTACAGTGTGCTCATGAGTGGGAGGCAGCGTGAGCTCAGCAGTCGTGGGTTGGCAGGGAGGTGCCCATGCAGCAGTTTTGTGACTCAGTTGCGATCAGCACTGTTAAAAAAATGTAAAAATAATCCATAGAAAATCCTGGATTTAAAGAATTAGCCCAGGCATGACTACTCATTTTGGCAAGTTTCTGCACGCTTGACATGACCTTGGTGTTGCGGTATTCTTTTGAGAGTGGAAAGGCTCAGTGAAACGCAGACATGGATATGGGTTTCAAAACAGCAGCCTTCAGCTCTACAAAAGGATGGTAGGTCTAACAGCACAACCTGATCCACTCGCATACCGGGCATTTTTCAGTGGGCCAGTGCAGCTATGAATGGCTCGCTCAGTAAATCACAGTTAGTCTTGTCCAGCCTGTTCTCCAGGACCTTTACTTCATCTGTCTAAGGTTTAGCTGGTAATGTCATGGCTTGAAATTGTTGCCTGGCTCTACAGATATGTTGCTGTATGAAGAGCTCGCCTGCCAGAGGTGGAGCTGTGTCTCTGTTCCCCACACCATTGGTTTAGCAATGTCTCCCTTTCACTGATGGCATTTTTTCCTGCCAGTAGTTTTGTGACTTCAGTCCCTATTGTAATGGTGTGGCAGTGTACCAAGAGAACAATTAACAATTGTTAATGTTACACAAATCGTTTGTATAGGTAAATGCTATCATCTTTTAGTCGAAGTTACTGGCTTTTTAGCAACATACAATGCTGCTATAAACAATATATTTATTTTCTGTCCAGGACAAAAAATCAGGCAGGCCAAAGATAATTCTTCCGTTGCACTTTAGCAGGGAGGATTATTCTAAAAGCTAATGACTTGTAGTGCAAGGAATGGATGCAGTGGTCTAGTAAACACTGCTACATCTTAACAACTATGTTAAGAAAAAATATATAAAATGCTGTTTTCCATCTGTTTAGCATTTTCTGGATTTTCAACTAATACCAAGTATGACCCATATCAGATTAAAGCAGAAATAGCCAGCCGTCGTGACAGAGTGAGTAACCTTTTTTAATTTTGTAAAAATATGAATTAGGCATGGGGAAGGGAGGGGGACTACCTGCTTTTGCTTAACATTTACACTGGGTGTTGCATGCATTTTTGGAAAAAAGTATAAAAAATGCTTTTCTACTCTGACTTATTGTTCCATTAAAATGAGTCTGTATTTATTGCATTTCAGTGACTTGTAAAGTAATGCTTTTTCCATGTTACAAGCGTCAAGATTTTGTCATGGATGTCAGAAACAAACTCAGCCAGGCTTTCAGAAATTACTTTCTCTGTGCAAACTGCTGCAAGTAGTAAATGCTCTGCAGCCAAATTCTTCCTTGATTGAGTGCAGTTCAAACCCACTGTCTTCATATTTTCCCATTTACCCATTTTCAGTGGGGTTCCATGGATGTCGTTGAAGATGATTTAGCTATTTGTTTGGAAGTCTGTTAACAATTCAGTAGACATGCTGGCAAAATAGAAATGTTTTAGCTAATTTTTGACCAGAGCTCTTTGGGGACGGGGTGGGGAAGAAGATAAAACCTTTTTGTAGTGATAGGTGGTTCTGTAATTAAAATGTTTTATTTCTAATTAAAATAAATAAAAATGACTAGAACCATACTTTTGGTACTGTCTTGTCTGAAGAAAGAATAGCTGACTTCTCAAATTTCTCCCATGCTGCAAACAGTTGAACTCTGTGTGTCTGTTTAAAGCAAATTGATACAGTAGTCAACTGTTTAAAAAATAAAAAAATAAAAAAAAAATAAGGCAGTTATAACATTAAGCTTTAGGACATGTTTTCTAAATTGTACATTTCTCTTTATTAATCACTAAAATGGAATTTAGTGTGCCATGTAAGCCTAAAAAAAATCAATAAAAAAATACTGATCTTTGCAGGATAGTGTTCCGTTTTTGTTGTAGTGACCACTTTCCACATGAGCGCCTCTGAAAATAAATCCTGTTCACCACCCTTCAAAGGCATTTATTCTATCTGTATATGTTTACTACATGCTGACTAGTGTTTGCTTGTTTTACGTAGCATACATGTCAGCATATTCTAAACAAGAAAATAAGCCTTATTTGTTTAAATAATATTTAAAGAAAACAAACAAGATCTTCACTTATGACTACTTCCCTCTGTTTCTGCATCTTAAAATAAAATGATATCCCAAGTGCGTAGGACAATCTGTTCCACCGAATGCATGTATTTGTTTTCATGATTGCTTCAGGTAATAGAATAAGTAGAATAAAATGTGCGGTGTAAAGTGTTTGTGGATAGTTCTTCAGACGGTGCTTCTCTTTTACTTTCCATTTATGCACACTAGCTGGAGGGGGTAGAAGGCAGGACAATATGAAAATAACCATAGGAAATCAGGCTGCCGTTTCTGGAAGAGAGACCAATTCTGCTGCCAGTGATTTTATTCAACACATTGAATGTGTTTTAATATTATTATTTTTTGACTAAAGAGCTAAGAGGTATTTGTTTGCTGCAAGGGAAGAAGAAAAATTGGGACTGAAACTCCTTAGCTGTTGGCATAATCTATTGGAGGCAGAAGACCATTAGAACAGATGAGGAAATCAATACTCTGAAAGATGTGACCACAGTTTGATTGGGTTGTATTATTTTTCAGAAGGTCTGTTACTTTTGTGCAAATTTTAAAGAAAACAGCAACAGCCCTTAGATTATCACTTCCATTAAAAAAAATAAAAAAACAAACACAAAAAAACACAACTTAAAATTTTGCATCGGACATAGTTATTTTTTATAATGTCAGTTCCTGTTACATACTGTTACTTTAAATTATTTTGATATATTCAGCTTTCTAGGCTAAAACGAGAATTGGCACAGATGAAGCAGGAGCTGCAATATAAGGAAAAAGGAGTGGAAACTCTGCAAGAGTAAGTTAAGGGTTTGTGGGAGGATGGTATTTTTTCCTTTCCTTTATTCATCTTGGAATGACTTGCTTAGAAAACTATTGCCAAAAAAAAATTTGAAACCTTCTAATTGCTTTGCTTCAGAGTTTCTGCTGTGATAGTGTTGCAGGTTGAGAACAGTGTGAAACGATGGAAGAAGGATTGGACAAAACTAGTTCAAAAGGTGATTTCATGGATCCACATGCCAAACAATTTTGTAGGCACTGTCTTATAACTCTGGCAGAAAATTTTGTGCAGGTAGAGTCAGATTTATAAAATGTTCTCTGGACATATCCGAAGATATCTCTGTCTGGAGCACAGTGAGAAACACCGTGCAGAGGAGTAGCCTTTCTGTGAGCAGTACCTAGGCTTTCTGTCTGGGCAGTGTATTTCTCCTGGGAGGAAGGCTGAATGCCTCTTTTTCCTTTTACCTTGGTAGTCAGACCTTCCAGTTCTGCATGCTGGTGTGTGCGTGCGCAGTATGCTTCGTGAGACCTGGGGCTTTGTTGCATGTGTGCAGAATGACTGTATGTAGATGTGACCCCTTGTCTCCTCCCTGGCAGGAGAGGTAGCTCAGGGCAATTTGCCGCTGCTCCTGGGACCCTTAGACAGCCTGCGCTCTGTTTCCCTCACATTTACCGGTGGCAAAGGTTGAGGACTGTTGTGGTAACCCTCTCCCTGCCACTCTTCCTGCAGGCCATCAGATGGGAACCGAGTGACTTCCATCTGTGCGCTGCTTAGTCACCTACACACATAGCACATACATGGGAAGCCCAGTGTGATAGGGAGAGAGATTGCCAGGCCATGGGAAAAATGGCAGGTAAACACATGGTGCTGTGACTTCCAGATCTGTCCAACAAGCTGAGAGGCTAGGCTCTATGTTGAACAACTCCTGGATTTGCTTTGGACGTGTGGCCGTATGTTTAGAAATCTTGGCCATTTGTGCTGTTTCAGCATGCATGTGAACGAACTGCCTAATGCAGGCGCTTCTTGAAAATGTTGGAACCATTGCACGTCTAATGCATTTTGCAGTGTAAGTACACTATCTGTGGAAACAGTTTGAAGCTGTGGATTTATTGTGTTGGTGCTACAAAGCATGGGCACGCACTTTCGCTTCAGGAATCCTGGCAAAGCTCCGGAGGTCCCGGAGCAATTAGGTTCCTGATTTTCCAGCTTAGACTGAATTAATCAAACATGGTATTTTGTTAATAAAACTATATAAAGGGAGGTGCTCAGATTCTAAATTTAAAGGAGAGGGAATAGCCTATGCATTTCATGTTTTCTAATCTTACAAGGTTCTTCTGTTTTGTAATGCATTTTAAAAGCTTCAGAGAAAAAAAGTTTGACCAAAATCCTTCATTGGCAGATATAATCATTCTCTGGCATAAATATAGTTTATTGACTACAAAAAGCATTTACACTTAGTTGCAGGGGAGTTGTTAATATATGATATTAACTGCAAATTTGTAAAGCAAAGCCTTCTGTATATTGAAACAGCAAATATTCTAAGTATGGTCAACATTTCAGGATAGTAACATAATTAAGTGGTAACAGAACAAAAAAAAAAATCATCTTAAGATTCTTAGTCATATTTTCTTTATTTCTGTTAGAATTGCCTTGCCTGTTCTACTTTATTTTCCTCCACATGATTACTGTTTTGTTTTTTAAGGGCGTAGGTTCAGTTTTTTATAAAAGGACAAACCACTTGATGAGGGAGATGAAAGTATTTGAAGGCCAATTGAAATTGAAGATTGTTTTAATTAATATAATTAATCTAAGACTGTCCAGCAAAGCAGTGCAACTTTTTGAAAAATAAAGTCTGCAAATGATTATGAGTGCAAGTGTTCCTTTGATTTTAGCCCAAGCTAAGTTGCCTGGAATACAGGACGGGGGTACAGGAGAGACTCTCAAGAGAGGAATTGTTTTAAATCGAGCTGTGTGCATCACATCGGTCAGTGGTAAATGTAATCAGCTGGTTTAAATGTTCAGGGATGACAGCTCAGTGCTTCAGAGCCTCTCATTGCTGCAGTCGCTCTCTGTGGGTGTACAGGGTGGCAGTCATCGTTCGCTGCAGCCGGTGAGAGCATTTGGCCGGGTGTTAGCCTGTATTGCAGTGAACTGCAGTTGGTGCTTGTGCCCTGCTGAGTTCTGCTCTCTGCAGTGACTTCTGGACTTTTTTTATTTTTAAAGTAATTAATCAGTTGCCTTTCTGGTAAGGTACGTGCTTTCTTTTGAATATTTTGCTTCTACTAGGAAGTGAGCCAATTTGGAGAGTACTCATGCTGTCTAACAACTGAAGAGAGAAGCTCTTCTGGCCTCCTTGTGTAGGCAGCGGAGAGGCAGACTGCGTCGGTGGTCAGTCCATGCCAAAAATCTGACTGTGCTCTGGGTTGTCCCTGAGCCTTCACTCCCCCATTTCTCTTGCTCTCTTACTTGTCTGGGGAAGAGTCTCTCCAGTCAAGTACTGAAGCTAAAGTATTTTGCTGCTTGTATATCCACAAAACAAGTGCATTGTCTGAAAAGAAACTTGCTGTTCCTTCTCTAAATTAAAAGGTTTTTTTTTCTTTTTTTTTTCTTTTTTCTTTTTTTTTTAAGATTCTTGCATTTCAGGCATTTCCCTCTTTTGTTACCTTTTCTAAATTTTTTGTCTGCCTAATTTTTGTTCCTTCTTGTGCTAGGTCAAATCTTCAAGTAACTGCCAAACTGAGACTGGCATGCATCCTGGTCAGATGTTTAAAAAGCCATGTTCTTCATTTTATTTTAAGTACATGCCAAGAACAATATTGGGAGTTGTCACACTTCAGGCTTTACATCTGGCCGAACGCTTGCCTTGAATCTCTGGACAGAATAGCGTGGGAGCAGGGACCAGAACCTGCACGGCCCCGTGTTCAGCCGCTGCTGGGCCCAGCCCTTGGAGAAGAAGAGCCCCATTTTTTGGTGGGGGTGGTTAGGGTGCCTGGTGTTTCCACTGCTTCACAGTGCTCTCAGATTCCGGTTCCTTGGTTAAAAGCAAATCTTCTGCATTGAAATTTTCCACGTACGTTATCTGCCTTGGACTAGGTTGTCATCTTTTCTTTTTAATTTTAGTAAAATTGCCTAGCCATTTCTGAGAATTAAAAAAAAAAATAGTAGAGGAAAAAGTTAGTTTTGTGGGGATGAGAGGGGATTGCAGGTTTTTAGTCTCTCTGCAGCTCCAATGCAATCAGAATTTCAAATTTTGTAGTGTGCAGCATTTTGTTAGGTCTATATTTTCACCATTTTCGTCCAAATTCGGCAGTGTTGTCATAAGCCTTTGAACATTATGGTCTGCTTTTGCCCACTGCAGGCTTTCTGGAGGCATTTCAAGCCTGCTGGGACCCACCCTGCATGACAGCCTTCCCTGCTCCTTGGTCCCCAGGGGTGTCTTTGCCCTGAGGCACAGCTAGTCCTGTTGAGGCCCAAGGCTAGAGGGGTAAAAATGAGCCTTACCTGGAACAAATCCCTTCACCTGGCCTGGCGGGGACTGGGAATGAGGAGCAGCTCCTTCTCTCCTGTGTTTTCAGTGACCCTGTTGCGTGTCGGCAGGAATTTTGGAGGAAGAAGGCGTTTAGCTGGAAAGGAAATGAAAACCCAGCCAGTTGGCTGTGAGAGCACAGGGACCGCTCAGAGAAGTGAGGAGAGTTGGGGAATTAGGGCTGACTAAACAGTTTATAGCTGCAGACTAGCTTAGAGGATATAAGACCTGACAAAAGCTTTAAAATTAGGCTTTAACTCAACTACAGACCTATGCTTTGGGGGGGAGTCTTAGGTATTTGAAAGACGTGGTGGAAAATAGAGGAACGCTGAGACTGCCATGTAGGACCAAAGCTATTGCGAGTGTGTTAATAGCCTACATATCCTGGAAACATCTTCCTCAGAAAATGTGTATTTCAGTCATGGGTTGAGTATTACTTGAATGTTCTTCCTGTTCATATAAAGGGCTAATCTGATTTTGCATCACGCTGTTTTCCATTAATAAATGGAAGATTCTGGTCAATGTGGTGGCTTTCAAAACTAGAGATTTATGAAAGGAATTAAAAACTAACAGACAATGAATAAGCAGTAGTTTTGTAAGATACTTAAGCCGGTTTGGATTGACAGCAGTACTGATTTAAGTTCAGATATTTCTGGCAGTAGAATATTATCTGATTCTTTACTTAAACAAATACCAGTTCATAAGTTGGGCTCCAAAGTGACGTCCAGGAACATGAATTTGTGGCTAACTGGACAAAAATCTGGTTGAAATTAAATAATTTCCTTTTCCTGTAATACCACCTTGTACCTGGCAAACAGTATAATGAACGGTTGTGTAGGAGGCATTTTCTGGTCTAATATTTGGGTGGAATCTAAGTTCTTAATATTAATCTAACTGTCAGATAAAACCACGTTATCATTTTCATGAAACCTTTAGTGAATTGGATTAGTTGTTTTATCTAATCTTTTCAGGACTTTAACTGGAAATGAGTGAAGAGTCAAGTAACCATCTGAAAAAAAAAAAAAAGTTTAATCCAAACTTTAAGTTCTTTCTGGTTTTTGAAACAAATTATAAAAGCTTACATATTTTTGTATGCAACATGAGGAGAATTGTGCTTAAGCAGAAAGCTGAGGTTCAGACTTACTTTGCATTTTGACAAAATCAGGAGTTGTCAGAAGAAAACAAACAAACCCAAACTGTAGAAACCCAATCTGCACTTCCTCCTGAAAGTTGTGAGCTGCACAATAAAACCACTGGAGTTTCATTCAAGCCTTTTGTTTTTTCTTATTATAATTTTAATATTTTGATTTTAACACAAGTGGCTATAAGTGGATTTGTCGTGTTTTTGTTTCTCTGGCAGAACGTAGTGAGGAGGGTAACAAAATTTTTGAATAGTTTAAGCTGTGAATGCACTTGCACTCACATTTGCACTCACATTATCATTTTGGTGTTCTATGGAATCCAGAGGAAGAACTATGGGTAGTTCACATTGCATTTGAAATCTTCTGGGATGGTCCCTGTGTACCTTCCCGTACCCCAGTGCAGGAAGATGATATTGTCTAGGAAAGATACTTAAAGATGCAAATGATGACAGGAAGGTATTTACAATACAGTTTTCAGAATTTAAAATTTATTTTAAAAATACCAAAAACAAACAAACGCTTACCAAAACAAAAACGCTTACCAAAAACCAGCACCCAACAAACAGAATGCCTTCATTGTAAACTTCTAAAACAAGATTAATGTCCTGGAAGAGATGTTGCAATGTGTAGTGACGCATCAGAAATGTGATGGCTAGGCTGCTAATGTCTTGTTACTTTATAGGTTAGTTTTAGGTTGATTTTACTTTTGTTGCATAAAGTAACCCACAGACATTGCTTTTGTGAGTAAACTCTGTAGTAGGGGACATTAAAGACGTGGAATTTGTTGGTTCGGCAGAACAGGGGTTCTGCATTGTTTTACCTTTTGAATGTACTGGATGCTGAACGGTGTTCTGATTCCCTGTAGAGTGTCATTTTATTCCTGGAAATAAAGTGGTACATGAATAAACAAGAGCATTACAGCATTTATGGTATTTCTTATTGTGTAAAAATTACTGAACCTGTCTTCATCTTTTCAACAGGATTGATCGTAAGATGTCAAGTGCTCATACAAATTATAGACTGGATGAAGCACAGGCTATAATGAGCGAGCTTCGAACCATAAAGAAAGCTATATGCACAGGTGAAAAAGAGAGGCAGGAACTTATGCAGGTAAAAAAAAATATATATATATATATTCTACTGAACAAATAGCTGCTCAAATGTACAGCCTATCTTCATTTTGTTGTTTGTGATTGCATTGGGATTACCAGGTTTAAATAAGCAAGGGGGAGGGGAATAATCTGATTTTTCTGTTCGATAATTGCCTGTAGCAGACATTTCATAAGAAGTAGTCATTATCTATACTGTGAACATGAGACTTCACGTGACAATTTCATATTTTTTGTCTTAGATAAAGTACTACCCTTACATTTGGATCAGTGTTTTTATTTAATTTAGCTTCCCATTGCTGCTAACTATATCAAACACTCCTATGGAATAGTTATCCTGCATTTAAAAAACAAACAAACAAAAAACAAACACAACCAAACAAAATATATTTAACTGTATTGTTTTTTCATTTTGTTTAATGTCCCCTTGTGTTCTGCATAATGAGCGAAGACTGAGAATTCTTTTGCTAAAATGTTTATTATCTCTTTTATAATGTTTTTCCTTTTATAAGCATCTCACAAAATTGGATGTTACTATACTACAGTTTGGCAGTTCTCCCTTTTTTTCCCCAGTTGCTCCTCCTATACAAGTAGGACATCAAGACACAGATTACTTTCAAGTGTCCTCACAAAATCCTCAAAGCATGTGATCAAATATAGTGTATATATACACCATCCTGCAAGCTTTAAATCATGTTTTAAAATCCAAGCACTAGGATTAAGGGGAGATGCATGCCCAGGTATTGCTGCATGCAATACAGCTTTTGAGTAGATTTTGTATCCTGTTCTGAGTTCTCACCTGCTGTGTATGCATTATCAATGTGAAAGGAGCTTGACTTAAGAGCCGTGATCCTTTGCTACTGCAGGAACTTTGGTGTATACTTGTTGAAATATGCTCTGGGTACAGAAGGATGGCAAGAACCATTCTCTTCACCTAGTCTTGAAACTGCGTTATGGAAAAAACACATTTTCATTACCTAAGTCTTTGAGACTGCACTAAACTATAATTGCCATTCAAGTGTTTTTTTTTTTTTTTTTTTTTTTTTCTTTCTTCATATTTCTCTGCAGTAGTGTTTTGCTGGTAATTTTTTGTTGTTAAATTCTGTGGGTAGCTTGTAATCTGCATATAATGAATTTCCATAGTTATACAATTATTCAGTCTCCAAAGCATTACCCAAAGGTCAGCTGATGGACCACAAATCCTTGTTCAAGTAGACAGAACACTTAAGTCACTCTTAAAAGTTTCTGCCTTGGCAGCTTTTAACATACTCGATATTTTGTGTTGGCCAGGTTTTAAAGTAATTCTCAAGTCTTCCACATGCCTAGCTAGCAAGAAATGATTAGAAAGGCAGTTCTTCGTGGATGCTCTGACGCACATTTTAGGAAATTAACTGGTAATTTAAAGACTTCTGTGTGAGATCCTGGAGCAACATAACTACTGGCCTTGTTTCGACTCTCCCAATAGTGTTGTTATTTTTCCCCATAGATTTTCAGTCCTTGGTGGCACTATATCCAGCAGTAAACATTGAGATGCCTTGAAAATCACAGCTTTTAGATGAACTTGAAGTGCCATCGCAGTGTCTTTAAATATAGTATTGAAAGATGTGGAGGACCTAGGATCAAGCTTAGCATCATAGACTGGACAATGCTGGCAACACCAAAATGTAGAGGTCACACGAGACATAACCAAAAATGAAGAGTGTTGTGATCTTTATTTGTGAACCTATTTGACATCTAGGAACTAGTAGTGTAGGAGATACCGTTTTTTTTTTAACCACAGCAAACACCAATCTGTTGTGGTAGCAGACAGTAATAGGCAAGTAGTCCAGGAGAATCTATAAAATAATTTTCACACACGCCTACCAGTTCTGCATGTTCTCTTGCAATTGTAACAAGGCATCAAATGTCAGTCTATAAGGTCAACAGTTGTCAAAGTTGTCTATGTCTACCAACTTACTGTGCTCTGCCTAAAATCCCCAGCTTCTACCTGATATTTTTTCTTAGTCTTAACAAAAGAAAAAAAATGTTATTTCATTGATGTTTTGTTGTTACCAAATTTCATGGTGCTTTGCCTTTTTATTTATTATTATTTGAAGGTAATTGTTATGGGTTTGTTTAGCTTAGTTAAACAAGTGAAAGTCTGTTTTAAATATCTTTGTAATGAGTTGAGAATTTGATCTTTTCTTTGCCCTATAGATATTTAAATTGATTTGTCCTTAAAAGTGCTACATTTAAAAGCTATTGTTGGTTAAGACAAGCTTTCTTACGGAAAACTTTCTGTTTTGAAAGCTGTTTATAGAGGATTTGGAAGTATTGTGTAAACAGATGGGAATTTATTTCAGAGAAAGGAAATAGAAAATTTCATACTACTTCTTAATTTAAATCTGGCCAGTGTAAGCAACAGAACTAAACTTAGCAGAAGTGACTCAGTCTTGTGTAGGTGCTTGGAAAATTGTAGCTGTCGTAGAAATATGATAATTAGATTGAGTTGTGTGGGAGAGAAGGCTGACAGGGGAAGGAGAAGGTGGTCAGATTTAAACTGGGTGCTGTGGTTACAAATAACATCAAATATGCAGTCTCGCAGCTCCGAAAAAGTGGACAAACTTTTTATATAAGACGGAGTAAGCAAGGTACATGCTTAAGTTCCCAAGTATGTCTGTGTGTATCTTGTCCCTCTCCCCAATACCCTTTGTGCTTTAGTTTCTGTTCCAGTATGTGCATATCCTTTAAAAATATTCTCTCCTTAGAAGCATTGGAGTTGGCTTTTTTATTACTATTTTTTTTTTCCTTCCTTACCATTTAAATAGGCTAAACAGTTTAGGTAAGAACTGCACTGAAATTTTGTGGCAGAGAGCTCCCAAATCAGGTAGCAACAGATCAACGATGAAATGACAGTGCCCATTTCTCTCTTTTTAGGTAGACTTTGGTGTGCCTGCAACTTCACATCCATATGCTAGGCTCATCTGGCAGTTTCTCCAGGATTGCCATAAACAATCCTTAAACCCTGGATGAAAGAGAGGTTCTCCCATATAGCTGGGGATGATCTAGCAGTTGATGTAAATTGTTTCTATCCTAAAAGACTGCTAATTCAGGTTGTAATTCTCTGTGTTACGATTGCTGGAGGGTGTGCTTTTGCTCATCCAACTAGAACACTCAAAGGACTTCTATGCTTACCCTAGAGCACAGTCACCTATGCATGTAGGTTAGATTGCATGTAGGTTGGGGTGATTGCCACCAGCCTCATTTTTAAGTAGTATCCAGCATTCAGCAGCTGCCCAGATAGGAAATCTGGCCAGCATCCAGGCAGTCCTTCACTACCTGCCAGGGAGAGGCTGGCAGGGATTGGAGCACAGCAGTAGTGCATGAAGAAGCTAAAACATGGGCAAAAAATTAGATATAAGTTCTGGAACCAGGACCTTTGGTGCTGGTAATACGATAAATATGTCTGTAACATAATGCAAGTTAGCCAAAGGTGCCAGAGGGGACGTGGTTTGTTTGGGAGAAACTTAAGGCTTTCTGAATCCCCGGTGTTCATGAGGTTGGCTTTGCTTTACTGGGAAAAGGAGATCTTAGACATTTGATGTTTGTGTAGCTACAATTTGTAATGATTATTTCCATCTTATAAATCTGTTAGGGACCGTCTTGATCCTCTTGTACTGCAGGAGGTTGCCAGGAATGGGTGATTGCCAGTGAGTTTTGAAGAGGAACATTGGATGGGATGCCAATTTTCAGTTGCCTTAAAATGGCAGACACTCTGATTTTCTTCTTTCTGCTTTGTAGAGCAGTTCATCTTGCAGCAAGTCTTCTGAGATAAAGGGATGCTGGCTAGGGATTTGTCAGTAGCATAGCTCAAAACTGTATTTTGGTTCCTCAGGATGGAGAACAAATGGTTTTGTTTGTCCTTCGTGCTAAGGTAGCACAGTTCAGTTGGGAGGTAGCAGAAGAATTGGTTTCTTTTGGGAACTCAGGATAAGCTGAGCTTCTGGAGGCAAGTAGTTGTAGCTTTGTCCCACCATCAGCATGCCTGGTATCACTCTGCACTCTCCTCAGTCCTAGCCAGTGCTGAGCACAAACGCCCAGCCCTGCTCAGACTCAGTAGCACTGGTCAATGGAGACTGAAGAAGGAACAGTACATGTCCGATGCATATCATGTCTCTCTTTGTTGTTCCCCAGTAGGAAGAAGGCACCGTGTGTGAGTTCAGGGGTCGTCAGGGAGGAGGGTAGTCCCCTCACTCATGTGCCTAGGGTGCCCACTCCTTCCTTCTTCCTCTACCAGGATGGGTATTTTCCCTCTTCTTCCTCTCTAGTGGAGGCAGGCATGAGGGAAGGACAAGTACATAAGGAGAACAAAGGGATAGAGTGTGAATGGGGAGTGGAGGCCACCAGAAAACGCCGCTTTTGCTGTCTAGTTTCAGGCGTGATGCAATTCCTAAGGATGCTTCCTGAGCTCTGAAATCAGCTGCCATCGTCTTCAAGGTGGTCTTGTGCCTCCTGTGAGCAGCAGCCAGTTGCTGTTACGCAGGCTAATCTTCCTGACTCCGCCAGTTCAATTTGTTGTAGGAAAAGGAAACGTTGCTGTGTTATCCAGGGTATCATTTTTAAACTGCTCTTTGAAGACTGAGATCCATCCTGGTAATTGGATATGCATCGTAACTGGGGCTTGTTGCAAATCATCAGTTGTCAGACACCGCGATTCCAGAGGGCCAGTGTGTTGCACTGCAGTGCCTCTGCTTAGTCTCTCATTCTGTAGTTTGGACAATGGAGCAGTTTTGATGTTGTTTTTTTTTGTTTGTTTGTTTTTCCTGGGCATTTTTACAGCTTTATCATCTATGAACAGATACAGTTTTTCAAAATCTGGAGGGGCAGAGTGGGGGGAGGGGCAGAGTAGATTTATTTTTACGTATTTTTTAATGTTCTTTTGATGAAAAATGTATAGGTTCTTAGCCACAAATGACAACCTGAGTAGTGGTTTTGTCATTAATGGTACGTTATCAGTAACTTTTGAAAAATAGTTTTGAATGCACAATCAGAAAATAAGCGGCATTAACAAGTTTATCTTTTTATTAAAGGAATTCTAAGAGCCTGTCAACAAAGCTCTGATAGCCAAACAAGCTCTTGTTATTTGTGTGATTGTCTTATTCCCCTTTTGCCTTAAAGGCTGTTTGAGATCTCTGCTTTACCCTCACAGTTTGTGTCACTGTCTAGACATTTCAGAGATGTTGCTTCCTTAACCCTAAGTGTAAAATATCCCCAACTATGCGAACCTTGAGTAAGGGAGCACTGGGGTGAAATCAGCTGTTGTAAAAACACAATCAATACAAGGTATTCATCAAGTTGGATGTGATGGCAGTAGTGGCTAAGGAATGTAACCTGGGCAAAAGATGGCAAAAGGGCAGGTGAATCCCATTTGTTTTTCCTGTCAACGAACCTGGAAGCTGCCAGTCGCTAGATTCAAAGAACTGTAAGCCATGCAAAAGTTAAAACCTTCATAGACCTAAAGTAAATTGTAAACATCAGATTTTTAAAAGCGATCTACGTGTATCTTTTAAAAGGAGGTATTTATTTCTAAGCAGAGGTGCTTCAAATTAGCTGAGAGTATGATAAATTTTAGTTCCTGTAAATGGGTCTTTCTAGGTAGTCTACCTACATGTATATTCTCTAAACAGAATTCATTTCTCTTTTTCAATCAATAAAAGAATTACCAAAAGCAGTTACATTTGTTTGTTTATTTTTTTTAACTCCTCTCTTGTAGAGCCTGGCCAAGCTAACTGATGGATTCAGGAATAGCTGTTGTATTACAGACTCCCTGCAGGATCTCCAGCACAATTCCAGTTCGCTCAGCGATTCCTGTTTACCTCAACAACACTGCGATGCTTGTTCTCAGACTGACATCACTGGAGAGGTATGTATTCCTACATGAGACATTTGCTTTAGAAAATAAGCTGCTTTTGTACTGTAGTGATACTTTGTTACTTCCTGCTTGAATCCAAGACGTGCTAGCCGTGGCAGAACAAAAAATCCAAGGAAATACTGGTGGTGAAGGATTTGAGCTTGCTTGTCATTTTCAGAGCAGGTGAATGGTGAGCTGTGTCATTCTGCTGCTCGAGCATTGGGATAGGGCATAGGCTGGCGACAGGTACAGTCAGGTCCTAGACACAGCCAGCCTGGCAGAGCTCTTTGGTGACTGCTGGCTCATCTTGAATAACAGCTCGTGCAGAGGCACCCACAGACTTCTTCTGGCCGTGTCCCTAGCTCTCGGCTTTACTGACATGTGTAGTGACACAGCAAGGAAGAAAATGCTTTAGCCTGCTTGAAGTTGCAGTAGAGACCTGATTGCACAACACCATGAGGTATTAGTTTTCTGGTAGTAGAGATGGAAGTATTTATCTTTTTTTTTTTTTAATCTTGTTTTTCTTAATCTTGTTTTTCTTACAATTGTCATTGTTCATAGACATAGAGGTATCAAAGACAGGTAGGCCCCTGTTTCTTTTGTTTTTCCTAGGGAAGTATTTGTTTGAGCCCCAAAGTATTTTTCTTAAACTAAAAAACTTTGATCTACTTCATCATTCTTAGTATTCCTTTATATATAGTGTATATATATATATATATATTTGTATAATCTCTATATATGTTATATACATACATACATACTCATAAATTATGCAAGGCTATATAATGCCTTTGTATAGGATATTTGAAAGAATCTTATTAGCAATCTTCAGAAATAGTTCTGTGTGAATGAAAAAGTATACTCCAAATACTAAAATTTTGGCCTGCCTTATCACCAGTGGCAGCCTAGCTGATCTCAAGCAATAAAACATTTACTTCTGTGGATGAGATTGACAACAGAGCAAGAAGACAACCTGTTTGTAGTTTTGTAGTACCATTGTTTGGATGTTACTACACATTCAGTTAGAATTTTTATTCAACTGTATAACTTTTAAATACAGGCTTTTATCACCCTGTTTTTGTTTTATTATCTTCTTTTACTGATGACTTGTTGCCACGTTGGATGTCTCTAGAGAACCTCTACACAAGAGGAAGTCTGTTTTTTTAAGAAATTACTCCTTAAAGCATCCAAAAACTTATTTAATACTAGGCTTGCTTTAAGTGTGCTAGGTAGATGGTGCCTTTGGCATGTCATTTTTCAGACTGGTGGTGGATGTGATTAATTCCAAAATGAATTACCTAAAGGAAAATAGCAGCATTTTCCCATGCACAATACACATAGAGTGTCATCGAAGAGGAACCAAGTGTAGTCTGAAAATTGTGTTTATCAGGTATAGCGTTTTTTTGTAAGGCAAATAAAATTGCATAATGATGTTAATTATTTTCCTGAATTATTAGTAGTGGAATGTGAGTAAAGAAGAGGTAGATTTTTACATGTGTGATGATAAAGAGAGCAAAAGCAGCAGATACCTAGCATGAAATCTAGATGTGGAGCAAAGCACTTAAGTAGGGACTTGGGTTTTAACTATTAGACTGTACACAGACTTCTGGAGAGGGCAGCTACTGATGCCCAGAGATGAAGAGAAGTTGCTGTAGAAACTAGACTGTATACAGCAGGAGTTGTAACATAAACGCGTTTTCTACGACTGACTGATTCAAGGATCAGGTAATGTTTTTGTAATAGTGCTTAAATCACACTAATGATCTAAGTGCTGGGTAACACGTCACAGTACATGGACTGTAGTCTGAATTATTTCTTATTAAACTATCCATAAAGTAGCTACATTAAGTAATAAAATATTACACTTAAAGCATACTCTTTATAGAATTTTAGGATTGAAAAGTTGAAAAGCTTAGTGATACTGTTTGCTAACCTTTCACTTCCCGTATCATAATTTATTAAAAGGGCTCATTTATCTTTCATGTTTTTAGCAATAAACCAGTTTTATATTAAAAAGCATAAAATTAATATTGATTGTTTTTACTCAAAACATTGTCAATTTTTAGTTGCCAGTAGGACAGTAATTTATCCCTTTACTTTGAGAGTGTTTTAAAAATCTAATGTCTCCCTCTCTTTCCTCCCCAATCCTTCCTCTTCAACTCTGCAACAGTTTGGGTTCGATGATAAAACAAGACTTGTAGACAAAGTAAGACTGAACTGGCAATATGAAGAGGCCAAGAAAAGGTAATTAAAGACAAATGTGGTGTTTTTACTCTTGTCAAAGTTTTCAAAGTAGAACTAGAGCCAGCCTTCTAGCTGAAATGTCTTTAGGAAGATTAATATGCTTACTGTTGAGAAGTTCAGAGATAATAAAAGCTTAGGTAAACATGAGACTTTATCATAAGTTTATTATGTTTGTTTGCACAGATAAAAACTAAACGTCAGTCCTATACTACACTTGTATAAACACAAAACTGCAGTAGTTTAATTGAGCTGTTTTACTTCCTTTTTTTCCCTTCTTCTCAAACCTCAATATAAACAGTCTTTAAATTTACACTGGGTTTTTACTTGCGAGGCTCTGTTAATATGCTCAGAGCTTTGCATACCTGTGTTCTAAGTTCAATATGTTGAAGCGTAAAGAAAGAATGAAAAAATTCCAGTGAGATAAATAAAGATGAACAAAACAGCACATAAAAATAAATTTGGAGATTGAAAAATATGACAAAAATGTTTTAAAATTAACTTGAAGTTGATTAATTCTTCACTAAGTCCTTCAGTCTAGTTGCTTATTGTAATTATTTAGTTCTTTTGTAAAGTTAGTCTTGCAGTTTTTTTCATGTCTTTGTGAAAATAATCTGCTCTGATTAAGCATTATTTTAAAATTATTACCTACCAGTGTCGTTTAATGCACCCTCCTTCAATCTCACTGCTTTCAAATTATTTTCCATATATTCAGGACAGTAGTTTAGGTATAGCTGACAGCTTGAACATGGTAATTTTATAATTACCATTTATAATTATTTTAATTTGTGTTGGTAGAACTTCCTCTGCTTAAAATTGTTTGGCATGTAGAAGATCCTGTTACAGTTGACTTTGAAAACCTTGTGTTTTTTTTTTAGTTAATTACTTTTTCAAGTTAGGCTTTTTTCTTTTCAATTTTATCTGCTTTTTCCAGTTTTCAACATCTGTGCGAACAAGGGTTAAAAATAAAATCCAGTGCTCTTGCCTGTTTTTTCGTACGATGATGACTTTTTCTTTGAGGGAAACCGTAATGCTGTCATATGTCTTGGCACGGGTTGGAAGCTTTATAGGCAATTCGCCATTTTGTATTTCTTGGAAAGTTTGCCCACATTTGGACACAATACAGGCTTAGAAAAAAAATAAATTGGTGCAAGCACATTAGAAATACACTGCTAAATTTCTTCAGCATTTGTAACTGGAATGAAAGTCTGTATTGTAAAATGCTGCCTGTGGATAATACTAGTGGCTATTACCTAATAAAAGTTAAATAAATGGGGGCAAAAAAAGGCAAAACAAAAAGGCATCAGCGTACTGTTTGGTCACAGGTTAACCCTTAGTACTTCATAGTTGAGTGATAAAGAGGTACATGACAGTCGATGAAGGAAAAAGGATAGGATATTATTTCATACTGTTCAGTTTAGCAGAGCTATTGGTGCTGTAAAGATTATATTAAATGCTTATAATTAGATTTTCCGACATACATTTTCTGTGTCTTTTTCAAAACTCTTGTGTGTTGGTCCAGGGAAAAGATAAAGTAGAGGGGGTTTTGCGTGTGTTCTGTTATTTTTTGTTTGGTTTTGATTTTGTGTCTGTTTTTAGTAGCAGAAACACTTCTCAGCTGGAAATGCTGAATATTTGTTTACGCATGGAATGCGGTATTTCTGAACATCAGAAGTGATCTGGGTTTTGATGTTAATTAAGTGTAGAAAATCTGGGTAACTAACCTTCCAAATGGAGAATAGTAATTGCTGTAAGGGTAGTTTTGCTGTCCCGGGATAGCAGCTCCAACAATGGTCTGTTATTTAGCAAAAGCATGTTAGTTCCTTTAAAATAGTAGCCTTATTTTGCCCAGTATGTTGTACGGAAGTAATCAGCTTTCAGCTTTTGAGTGGAACTGCACAAAGCTCATTGCCCCTACCAGTTATCTCTGTGGTTGCATTCTTCATTTATCATGCATTCCTTCCCCTTAGCTTGCTGGCATTTCTGTAGGGCTTTTGTCTCTACTAAATATCTTTGTGCTCGTTCTGCCTTGGCTGGTGAAATATCTACTGTTACTGCACAGTGTGGGTGACGGAATGTGCTGCCATGGATTAAAATCTACGAAGTAGAAAATCAAAATGCTACAGTATATCACAACTGTAAAGCAGTATATTATGACTATTTGCTTGTCAAGCAGAGTGGAAACATATAGCAAATCAATACAACAAGCAAATTGCCTTATTCCCAAGTTTTAAGGGAAGACCTGTAAAGGACACCAAAGGAAAGAAGTGGATCTCTTCCCTTAAAGGAAATCAAGGGGAGAAAAAAATACAACAAAACAAAACACCAACTCAAGGGTGGTGGGTTGTATTTTTGTCATAAAAGATAATACAGCTTTAGATACCAGAAGAATAGTTGCCATAAAGGGACAAGAAGACTTTTTTTTTTTTTTTTTTTAAATATATATAAATAAAAGTACAGTGTATATGGCATTTTAGCGAGAAAGTAGTGTTGGGACTTCTGAATGACCCATCTTGAGGAATTCGTGAGATGAGCCCAGTGATAGTGGAAAAGTTGGCTTATACTCCCCAAATATCTTTCTTCCCTTGAGAAAGATAATCCGATTTTTTTTTTTATTCCTCCTTCAAAAATCTCTCTAACAGTACTGAGTGGTTTGGTCTTTGCATAAATTAAGGCATTCACAGAGCTTTTTTTTCCCCTTCAGTTTCCCACTGGAAGGAAGTCGGATAATTTGCAATTTAATTTGTCCCATGAGTATCTTCAGATGTTGTGAGCTGTGGGTTCCGACATCTTCAAAACGCTGGGGAAGTCGTCCTTTATCCTGGGTCTGATCCAGTCTCTGGGAAGAGGCATGTAAACTCTACTTTTTAACTCACCAGTCATGCTGAACAGAGAAGCTCCTGCTCTTTACTGTTCTCTTCCCCCCCGTTATTTTTAAATAAACTTTACCTTATTTCCGTGAAATTTTTTCTCTCAGATCTGTCAGTGTGGCCCTCCAGAGAAGCAGGCGGAGGGAGGATGGTCTTTTTGAACAGACAGCCCTGAGCTGCCTGGATAAATACCGTTTTTAGTTTCAGTTGCTATTTCAGTGAGACTACCTTTCATGAAAAGCATTTGCACACTGGAAAGTGTCCCCCTCGAGCGCTTTTCTGAATAGACCGTTTCATAGAAAAAGAAATCAAAAGAAAATTGTTTTTCTTTGATAACTCAAAGTTGTAGAGTTCAGTGTAATGACTGCGTGAAGTATATTGGCAAATGATTGTGAACTGTCACTGCAGTGCCTCGTGCCTTGGAAAGTGAACTAATCAATAGATGAAGAATGATCCCTCCAATAACAAGTGCCAGCACTGACTGTGATTTTCATTTTTTTTTAATCCAGTCTGATGACAACTGACTTGAATGAACTGAAACATCCAAGCATCTTCCTTCCAGTTTATCTAATTTGGGAGCAAAAGAAGAAATTTCTTTACACCTACCATAATTTTGAATTTAAAGATGCTGTTTTCCAATTCAGACATTTAAAGCAGACAGAGACTTGAAAAAACCTCCTGTTCAGCCATGCTTTGTATTTCCACATTACCTTTCAGAATGTTGCTTCTTTCAGTATAGTTACTGAATAGGCATTTTGCTGCAAGCATGCTGTCTAATTACCAAAATTTAGTTTTAGTGCCTTTAAAAGCACTAGCACATGAAATGTGGTAGTGCAGTTTGTGTTTGTATTGATAAAACACATTTTGGTTGGATTTTGATAGAAACATTCCAGTTTGGATACAACAAAAGAGTCAAGTATTTCCCTGTTATACATCTTGTGAAGGCAAGTTTCAAAATCTAATTGCCTAATTTCTGGTGAAATTCAGTGGATTTATGTGCTTTATTCTGCTACGCTAATCTGAAAATCGGATTTAGGGATGAAGTAATTTCTTTGATATCCCATAAATATCTGGCTTAGGCACGTCAGCTAATCCCCAATCTCCCATTGTCATTTTTTTAAACAGATAGCTGTCTTTCTCTTTGGGTTAGTTGAAGAGCATGGCTCTGCTTCCTTTTTATCTTTAAAGTTTTCATTATACCAATTGACTTGCGAATTGAGGAAATTCTAATTCCTCTCCTCCATTGGTTTTAACAGGCTTTGCATGAAAGGTGAATACCTAATTTTATCTGCAAAATGCCAGTGGACTCCAAAAGGTTTCATGAGTGTCTTAAGCCAATTTAAGACCTCCTTGTTATTGAAGCGGGCTGCCAGAAAGACTGGATATTCTACAGAGTGTACTCATGTTGTCCGCCAAAGCCACAGTGGCACATACTTGCAGGAACAGCCAAAGTAGACACAGTGGAGAAATTTTGTGAGCTTTTGGCTGAGTTCCCTAGCTTCTTGTTCTTTCCATTTCTTTCTTCCTCTTTCGCTAGCCTTCTCCTCTTTGAGTACAAGTTATAATCCACTCTCTTGAGGGCCTGTAAATACCAGAAATTACCCAGTTCTTACACCCTTTGTGTGTCTTCAGTCCTGTAACCACCTTCTCTTGGTGTTGCATGTGGTAGAAATTGCCTGTTAGCTGAAGTTAGGATCTGACTTTAAGCCTCCTGGTGTTCCAGGAACTAGTTCTGTGTAAGCGAAAGAGTAAGCTGGGCTGATTTACGGTAGCGTATTTGTGCAATCTTAGCCACCGTTCTGCTCCAAACCATAACTGGGTTTTGGTTTTGTTTATTTTCAATGTTCCTATTCCACAGGTAACAAGGGCTTCAGCTGTAGAGGTGTCTGATACGTCACCCAGAATTCTAGGCAACTAATATAGAGTAGTGTTGTTTTTCTTGTTGTTCTTTTTCGGCTTGGAAAATTCAAGCAAAGTTCAGAGAACTTGTTTACGCTAGGAAGACCGACACTTGTGGGTTACGAAATACCAGGTGGTAAGGTACCCTTAGTTTGTCCCTTTTATGGGTATGAATTAGGACTCTGATATTCTTCTGGAGTGTTTCTCTCCCCAGGACACCTGCCTTGCTCGTAATCTGAATAACAGTCTAAGCATCATCTTAAATGTAATGCCTACAGCTGAGGTTGTTTCATCTCACAAAAAGTGATTTTTACTTCAAGCTTGCTGCTCGTGTTATTTCCAATGACAAAAGTGTTGCTCTGTTTTGACTAGCATAGTCTGTGTAGAAATATAATGACTCAGATATGCTCTAAGTTCTGAAAATGTGTGCTTCTCCCACCCCATGATGTAGTTAGGATGTTGTGTGGTAAATTATTGGTTGTCCTGTTTTCCACCCTCATGCTACGTCTGCGTTATCACAGACTGTGCATCATTCCAGCTATTTCAGTATGGCCATCTCAGGGCAAGTTGGCCATTTCACATCAATGTTTACTTAAGATCACCAGGTTAAACCTTTGTCATCTCATCTGTGCCCTCCTGCTTCTCTGCTTAACAGGAGCTGTTATATTAATTTCCATCAGAAATTTTTAAATCCTGAAATAAGCAGCAACTCGGGCTGCCTACCTAGGAAACCAGTCATTTGATACCACCTACTCGAGTGTGGAATGCAAGCTCCTCAGCGCTTGTTATGCAAGGATGGGAATGGGCAAAATGCCTGGAATGTTGATGGTTCAAAATTAACTGTTTTTTTTCCAGGAATACGCTAAATTGGTACGTTGGTAGGGACCTTGGTGTATCTGGCATTAAGCCAAGATAAAAGGACTCTTTTACGGTGACTTGACTTAAGAGGTAGTATCTTAAAAATACACAGTAGGAAGGAAAAATGTTTTTGAAAAACAGAGGCTTTGAACAGGACCCCCCCTTTTTTTTTCTGTCCCTGTCAATTCATTGATTTGTTTAAGTGGGTGTTTAAGGTAGGTGCATATACGTACTGAGTCTAAAACAAGGCAAAAGAGCCACTTTTTGTAAAAGACGAGCAGTGAGAATGGCTGGTGTGGTATAGGCATTAAATCTGGCATGGACAAGCACAGTGAAAGTGCTTATTGCTTTTATGCTTATATGCATTTGTTATGTTTGAGAAGAAAAGCTTGTGTTGCAAGAAGCATATTGCAATTATGAACGTGCTTGGAGGGATTTTTCTTATTAAGCTTTTAGCAGAATTCAACATGCCTCCTCTCCTCAGATATTTTTCTAAGGTTGAGGTGAGGGAGACTGTAAAAGCTTTGGGGATGTTTTCTAGCCACGGAGACAAATTTTTACGAAGTTTTTCACTGGTGGTTCCGAGAACTTGAGTTTGCTTGCAGCAAGTGCAGGAAATACAGGTTGCAGAAAACTGGCTTACTGGTGCTGAAGTTCCCCTCCCGGCAGATTCCTGCATTCTGTAGTGTTATTCAAGTGCTTTCTCTTTGCTTAAAGGGGAAAAAATAGAGACAAGAAGAGCTAGCAGAAATACTGAGAGTGTCAAAGGAACCAAAACAAATCCCTAATCAGATTTTGGAACTCTTCATTGACACAAGCTTAGTCCACAGCAGTACTTTTTCCTTTAATAATAGTATAATTAAGTTACTCTGCCACGACTTTCTACTTTCAAAAAGTCATTGTAACAGAAATTGGGGGAAAAAAAGGCAAACTTTAAACTGGAATGTCATACACAAGGGGAGTAATGTGCTCTTAGCAAGCACCACAAGAGTCTAAATTAAAACCTCCTGTACTGAGGGTGGTGCACTGCTCAGCCAGGCTGACTCAGTGGTTAAATGGCACTGCAAGAGCAGGTCACCTCCTTCCTTTTGCTACCTTCCCATCATCACTGCTGGTGTTTCTGTTCTTCCTCGCTGCCTGCATTAGCATTTATTTGCTTCAGTGGCTAGTGCCTTATCTAGCTCTCCCTGCATTAGAAAAATAAATGCCTAGCGAGACAATTGGGAGAGGGTCATTCCTTCAGCTGTCTCACCAAACAATGCAGAGACTTCACCAAACACATCTGATCTTCTTTCATCTGTGAGCCGTGTAAGAACTTGTGAACACGGTCACTCAAATACATTGCCAAGGTTCAGCCGATTCACGCTAACTAAGCTATGATAACCCAAACGTGCCTGAATTTTATAATTCTGTTGAACAGACCTTGGGTTTCTGTTTGTTTTGTTTGGCACCAAACACTTTAAAATTAAGCTGTATACACGTTCAGAAGTGTTTACTGAATCTTATTGCGGCCTGGGTGGAGGAGAAGAGGGAGGGAGGATGGCCCTGACGTCCCATGGAGGGGATGAGGTGTTCTTCAGGAAACTGCATCTGGAATTCATGCACAATAGCTGAGGCATGAAATATGTAAACTGTACGTATTGATTCACAATGGTGCTTTCACTAGCTATTTGCAGGAAGTTGGTTATTAATGCAAGGAGGAGGAAATGGTATTGAAGGGCTTGATAAAGTATTACACTTTAGACTATAATGTAACACAATACCCAAATTCAATACCCAAATTCTTTACTGGCTGTAAATGAAAACTAAGGGGAAAGAAAGCTGTTTGACAAAAGTCACAGTAAAATCCCTGTTTGTATATGAACACGAAAACTGTAATTAATACAGTCATTGCAAAATGAATTATATTGATACTTTATTTCACTTCCTGTGATAAGATGGCCAAATACTTTCCAGATGTCAGTATGAAAAAGCACTGTTGGAAGTTTGGGGTTTAGATGGGAAAAACCTACCTTTGCCATATCTGTTCCTTTTCTTTTACCCTTGGGAAGATGTTACCATACTGTGGATCTTCTGTTTGTTACATGCTTTTCACCTTGTTTTATTCTTTTTTTTTTATATCAAATATTTTGAAAAAATGATTACTTAAAAAAAATTATCAAAGAATGGGAGCATATCCCACTTGTATGGTTGGTTTTAAATACACTTTTTTTTTTTAAAGGGCATTTTTTTTTAAGGGCAGTGATCTTTTATTGTGCACTGAACTTTGAACACTGCCACTGCAAAGTGAAGATGTAACTAAGGTGTACAGATGCATAACTTTGGTACAGTTTAGTTTCTTACAAATGTTCAGAAATCAGAAAGCTAGATTTTCTCTTATGTACTTTTCATTTTAACTGTAAGCTTCTAAAGTGCCTAAATTGATCATTGTAAGACAAGCATAAAAACCAAACAGTAACAGAGTGTTCTCCCTGTTATGCTAATACAACTTTTGATTTTGCCAAAAGAAACATTTGTGAAATTTCTAGCTTTAGGGGTTTGTGCAGTGTTTATTTAAAGTTCAAAATTTCTTTTTAGCAGAACGATTTCTTGCAATGTCAACTGTGGAATCACAAAACACTGATAGTTGTAAGAATGTAGTGGTTCAGTGTATTGAGATATAGAAGCTCCTTTTGGCTATATATCCTACTACTACAAAAAAATGAAGTTAGCATGTTTAACTACTTGATTTGATGATGGATTCATATGAAGCCACATGTATTTTGCAACCAGTAAATCTTTTTTTTTCCAGACCTGTTTTTGTTTTACTTGCCAGCTTATATATTCTTAAACCCTTATTGCCAGCTGGGACATGCTCCTCTGTTGAGGTGCGACACAAAAATACAGAATTTTTCAAAGACAAATAGTTCCCCTTCATTTTATTCAACCTCTCACTGCATTTCTCAAATCCCTGATTAAGATCTGATAGTGGAAGAATGAGGAATGAAAGGATGTTCGGCTTCATCATCTTTGTCCAGGCAGCAAACTCAGGAGCTCTAAAATATCAGTTGTTTTTCTATAAAATGAGCAAGCTGTGAAGACAAATACTGTTCACGTGATAAATGTAGTGTAGTTCTCACACAGCTACACATTTATGAATATTTGCTCTTCTTTGTGTTTAAAATAAACAAACCAAAAAACATGTCAAACCCAGAGACAAATAAAGCCTCCCAAAGACCCCTAATTTTTTGTTTCAAAGTTTAAGTGAAAGTCACTGATGTTCACTGATGTTACCTTATGATATTTTTCTTCTTGCTTGTCTTCACCTTTGTCTCTTCTGCATTTTGAAATATACTTATTCTCTTTTAAAGAGTTTCAAATATACAGCAGCAACTGGCCTTGCTAGATAATGAATCATGGCCAGGGATGGCTGAAGCGGACAGGGACCGTCTTCAGCTCATCAAAGAGAAGGAGGCTCTTCTTCAGGAGCTGCAGCTCATCAGTCAGCAGAGACGATCCCCAGAAGACATTGCACGTTTGGAGGAAGAAAAAAGACGTTTGGAGGATGAAATTCAACGGGCTCGAGCAACCTCTGCTCATGGAGCCACTGAAAGGTTTGGCAACTTAAATCATTTTCTTAGCTTCTGTACTGCACTACTATAGGTGTAGCATCTAAAGGAAGAACAGGGAATTTCACTAGGTTTAATAAACAAACAAAGTTACTAAATGGCTTTCAGTAAAGGAGTTGTTTGCTCCTGACATTCCCTTCATTCATCTGAGTTGTGTGAAAGAAGAGATCAGAATAGTCACATCAGATATGTGATGTGTCTGAGTGATGTTGTCTGATAAGAAAGTTGAATAACAGCACCTGGGTACTAAAGGATTTTTCTGTTATTTTGCAGTGGAGGGATAGTAATTTCCAAAAGCAGCAGAACAAAGATCCTTCCCTATATTTGCTTTCTGCCTTAGAACAGGAAAGTTAAAGGATTAACTTTTATACCACCTTTTGCATGTAATTTTTCCTTTTACTTTGCAGTGTGAGCACACCCCAATTCTGGCAATACAGTAAACTGAGTCATTCTTGAAAATATAATTCAAATGTCAAACTGTGTGTAAGAACAAACAAAGGAATAGAAACACTGTAGCAGAAACACTGTGTTTATTTCAAAATTAGTTTTTCTTCTAGAAAGGGACAAGAATTCTTAATATGTTCTTTTTACAATAGGCTACTTCTAGTGAAAACATGAAAGTGCTAGCTCTTTTTTCCAAAACTTCTCTTATGTATATGATACAGAGATGATAATCTAGAAATGTCAGCTTTAAAATTTATAGAAAAATGATTTATGACCTTTTAAAACTTATTTTCATTATTTCATTTATATTTTATTTATTTATTTTATGGCAGGATAGTGCTTTTGTCCACTGCATGAAAAAATACCTTTTTTTCTTGCTATTCTTTCTCATTCTGAAGCAGACTGAGGCATGAATTAATGGTAAAAAGCCAGGCTTGACACATGAGGGAAAACTTTGTGAACCAGAATCTATGTGATCCATATAAAGGTTAATATTTACAAAATTAAGAAACTTTTAAAAAGATTTGGAAGTGCCTTCTATGTACAAATTTTGGGAACTTTGATTCCTTTGAAAAGGCTTACTTTAGATGGTAAATTCAGGTAATAAAAACAGAAAATTCACAGCCAAAGTATAGTTCAGTGTTGTGTATTTTGCAATTTTTGCAATATTGTTACACGGGCTTTCCAGCTTAAACTGACAGAGAAGGGAGTTCACTTTACACTGCAGTGTAGTAAGTTTTATTTGTTGTTTTTGGGCTCTCATGTTAGGTAGTGCATACTATGTTGGCAAGGAGGCCAAGCTATTTTTCCATGTAGTTCATGCTGTGGAAACCAGCATTCCAGTGTGATACTTGATATTTCAAATGCTAGCAAAAAGTTGAGTTGAAGTTAGAGTAATGTTTAAGGGCACTCTATTTTTGTATAACAAATTGGAGGAAAGCTTAACTATTAGTAAACCTAATTTATTTGTTTAGTTTAGGCTGAGGAATAACCGAAACCATTCCCAGATCTGCTTTTCTATTTCTACTTTCTCCTATTCACAAAATACAAAGAAGTTTCCTGTTTAAACGATGAGCAATTTTGTTCTGTTACTGAGTTTTAAATGCACTGTGTTGTGAGGGTTGATCAAAACTAACTCAAAATCTGTATGACAGAGGTCTTTGTTTGTTGGTTTGCTTTAAGGCAGCCTTAGTTCCCGCACCTTCAATGCAGGTGCTCACCTCACAGCATTACTGCCTGTGGAGTGAAGGTTCCTGCGTTTGTTTTTTGAAGTAGATGGTGTGAGTACCCCATCTTTCCCCTGCAAGAATTTGAATGAGTGGAGTTACTTGCATCCCTTTGTCTTTTTCTGTTATCTTCAAAGGTTGCTGCATGCAGTGCCTTTATCACCTGAGTTTACAAAACTGCAGCTTTCCTTGCACCACTCGATTAACCCGGTCTACAATGCACAAAAAAAGGAGAAATGCTTTGATGCCGTGCACACTTTGGTGTGCAGCTTCTGCTGTGTGGTTGCAGTGAGGGGAACCTCCCCAGAGGGCGGTGGGGGTAGCTGGAGCACAGTGCTGCAGTCCCTTGCCAACATGTGAATTAATGGAGTTGGAAGCCAAGGAAATTGAGAGATTTATGTTTTCACTGTTAACAAAGACGTATTTTTTCATATCTTAACCATCCACAGTTTATTGAAACTAATGTTGCCAGTTTGTTTTATCCAAAAGGGCTCCCTTTTATTTATATTTTTCTATCCTGACCATTAACATGTTGAATTCTAGCAGCTGCCTGCAGTAGGGGAAGGTCTGATGCACTGATCTGAAATGTTTGATCTGCTTTCTCCAGACTGTCAGAATCCCTATTTCTAACCATCTTGTGAACACAGAGCTAGAGAAATAGCTTCCCTGCTCCAAATGTTACTATATATAACACGAAACAGATTACTACCCTGATTTTATGTTGAAATTTAGTGATTGGGCTTGGAAGGATAAAGCACCAGGAATGCCTGTAATTCTAGATTCAGGGAAAGTGTAAGCGTGTTATCAGAAGAATGTATTCTTCAAAGTTTTAATAATCTCAAAGTAGAGCATTGAAGATATCTTACAGGCATTTGAGACTGACAGCGTTATAGATATGTTCCCTTCTGTGTTGGGGCGGTGGTGCTGAGTAATTCAGCTACTTGTTATTAGAATGTGCAAAAAATAAGTTTCAGTGAGAGATTTCTGCCATAGCTTAGTATTCAGAATGCTATATTGTCTCCTAAATACAGTGCTATGTAAACATATGCGAATCAGATAGAATTAGACCCTAAAGCTTACTTTTATGGTAACTGCTTAACAACTATTCTCCAAAATTTTTCTTTTTATCTTTGAAATTTGGAAGCTTGGATAATAGGGCTATTCGGATTTTTTTTCCTGCCAGGGCAACTAGTCATAGTAGCTTTCTGTATTTCACTGGCACAATCGCATTGATACAAGGAAAGAAAAATCTTGTCAAGTTTAATGCTTTTACCTAGGACTTTTTATGATTTTGACAATAGCTGTTGTGTATTTACAACATCGTGACTCTTATACTGTGCCTCAATTACTTTTCTTGTCTGGGAATTCTGCTAGTCTCAGTTCCTGTGTTCTTGCTGGAATTTCCATTGCTGCATATGAGCTGTGTAAATTAAAACTTTTCATTAAACAGTGAAACTTCTTTTTGTATTCTAAACTGCAATGCAATGGCATTTTTCTGTACTTGGAAAGCTCCTAGCACTTCTTGAGTACTGCTGTAATAAAGAAAAATACTAATATGTATCTGTTTAATTATAGGATACTGTTACAGGAAAAGAGAAATTGTTTGCTTATGCAACTAGAAGAAGCTACACGTTTAACCTCATATTTACACTCCCAGTTAAAAAGGTAAGTTGTGCAAAAGGAACAGGTTTTGAAGTTTAACTGCAGCAGAGAAGAATGTTAGTAATGTAAGTTTTACCGTTTAATACTTTTGGTGTATGTGTGCCAAGTAAATTGAATTTTACTAAGTGTATTGTTTGATCTGTGGAATGTGATGATTTGGATGGAGTTCTGTAAAGTGTTAGTAATGGCTATTTGGGCTAGATTATTCCATATATTTGGGTATTTTATTTTATACGTTCACTTATTTTACAAAAAGGAGATACCTAGTTGAGGAACACTGTAAAATTGTTATAGTTCTACTTTATATGTAGATAACATTCTTTTAAGTTCTGTGGGGTTTAGTATCCTGATACCTTTTCTAAAGGAAGGGTTTTTGATCCCTGGTGAGATGACAGAATTTCGCCATTTAAATATGAGAACGTGCTAAGACCCACATAGAAGCCCAGAATGTTTTGCATATTCACACTCGCAGCTGCCTTTTTTGGTGCAGCTCTCGGGGATTCCTCAGCTCAACACCATGCCGACATCAAAAGCTCAGTTCCTGCTGTGCCTCGCTTCATCTCTGTCCATCACTTATGCTGTCTTCTCCCTAGCCATCTGAGAATAGTAGAAGGAACTGAAATGGGATTCATACTGAAGTTGTTTTTATTTTGCACTTGAAAAAACTGTAAGGATGAGACTTGTGCAGCACTTTTTTTTTCTGTTAGTGCTGTCTTTCCAAATCCCTTCTTGCTGCTTCTCCCTGATACCTCTGTGATCCATCATTAACACCAATTCAGGCTGGATCATGGTAATCTACTATTCCTGGCTTTATATTGGGTCCACTGATCCAAACCCTCCTCTCTCCTCTTTTCTGCTGCATTATGGCTGGTTGCAAGTTGGAGGAAGGAATAGACCTGTCCTGTTGCTCTCTTTGTCTTCAGGCACGTGGCCCTGATTTGGTTGTCACTTGCACTGTTCCAGTCACGTCTGTGCTTGAGACTAGGGCAAGAAACATGAGTTAGACCCTAAACTGCCAAAACATTTCTCAGTGTCATGTGCTGAATGAATGTAAAACTGCTTATGTTAACTGGGTTGATGTTTTATGTCCACACTGGTGTTTCTGACAGTATTCGAATGGACCTTTTTTTGTTTCCTTTTCCTTTTGCCTCCCTTAGTCTCTCAGCAAGCACCCTCACAATGTCCTCTGGCAGCAGCAGGGGTTCCCTGGCCTCCAGCCGAGGTTCCCTGGCCTCCAGCAGAGGCTCCCTCAGCTCGGTCAGCTTCACGGACATCTACGGCCTCCCGCAGTACGACAAGTCGGACAGCGTTACAGACTACGGGCAGCATTTGCGCTTCGACATCATTCCCTTTGAGTCTCTGACGAAGGACGTGCCATATGTTGATCCCATCGGACACTCGAATTTCAATAAGCAGCGGAGGTCTCTGGATACCCCGCAGTCCCTGGCATCCCTGTCGTCACGGTCCTCCTTGTCATCGTTGTCCCCTCCGAGCTCGCCTCTGGACACCCCATTTCTCTCCGCTTCTCGAGATTCTCCGCTGGCTCAGATGTCAGAAGGTTTTGAGGAGATGGCAAGCATAGGAGCCCTGGAAATGCTCAGGGCTCAGTCTGCAGCGCTGGGTGACGATGATACGCAAGGAACAAGTTCATCTCAGATATCTGCTTACGCTGTGGACAGCGAAGGAGTGCGAGAAATGGGCCCACAGCTGACTGCTGTGCAGCCTAGCGGAGGTGAGTTGCTGGACGTGATTCTTTTGTCACTTTGTCATAGAAGATAGCACACAAATCTAATGGTACCACCACAGTAGAGATTGTTTCTCAGTTTCGTTTTACTTACATCAGTTAAAAATTGCATGGTGGATGTTAAATGTTTAAAAAGAAGATGTGAACCTCCTTTGATGTCCCCTAAAATGAAACAAAACCAACAAAAAAAGTTTTGATTTAGGGCAGAGGTGAGAGTAGAGAAGTCTTTGCAAATAGATTTTAAAGCAGTGGTGAATTGGACAGAAGAAAGGGAATGGAAAATGAACTTTCTGTTGGTCTTGGTCAGGAATTGGTAAAACCGCACACGGTTTAATCACTTGTGAGGCCTTGTTTCTGCTCATGTTGCCATTATTCTGTTAATTTCAAGCAATGCAAAACCAGTTGATGGGTTTCATTAAATAAATGAAAATGTGCTGGGGTGGGCAGAAGGTGATGATGCAGCTGTGATAGTGCTTGAAGGCTGTTTGGCTCTGTGCTGGATTCACACCCACCCTGATACCAGATTCGCGTCAGTGAGCTGTGCGATGGAGCAGAAACCACAGTGGCACGGCAGTGTTGAGTTCATGATGGGCTACGCTCATGAGTCAGTGCTTCAGTAACTGAGAAGCATTTTTTGCTGTGGGTATGTGAGGAGCTAGGCATCCACTTGAGTGATTTGTTTTTGTTTTCATCATCTCTGAACCTGTTCTCGGTGATCGCAGAGGAGCTGCCTCAGTTAACCACAGCACACACCGTTAGTTTTCTTTTTGTGCTTCAATGTGAAGTGGATGGACTTATTTCAGCTTGCAGTGGTGGAAGCTTCTGAGGCTCTGTAGATGAGAGTGTGTTGGAATCTTGAATATGAGAGATCAAAAGTGGAAACAGAAACCTTAAAAAATAATAATAAAAGTATTTTCCTGTTTTAATCAATCAGTTGAAGAAAGAGCTGATGTAAAATGAAAAGGAATACTCTTTCCTTGTAATATTTTTTTTTTATGTTGGCATACTTGCATTTCTAATAGAACCATTACAGTAGAGAAAGGCTTTTATAGGATATTTTAATATTGAATGTTGTAATTCACATCCTATGTCTGTATCCGTAATTTTGTGTTAGCAAATGCACATAATACTACACTCAGGGATTGGAGTATCAGGGTTAATATGAAATATAAGCAGGGAATATATCGTTCTACTACATCTTGTTTGTCAAGAGATAATGAAAAGGAACATTGACAGTACATAAGGAAAAAGTTTCAGCTATTTTTAAAAAGAAAAATGTCCCTGCCGTGCTAACAAGCCTGTATTGTTCAAGCAGCATTCGAGCGTAGACTTACCTATTTTCCTTAACGCAACTAACACTGCCAGAAGATACTGCTGCAGAATTCACATTTACTAGACATAAACACGTCTTGGTCCCATATTGCAGTATTCTGACCAAAATAAACAGAATTCCAGAGACCAGCATGTAAGTTTGTGCTTAAATTAGTGCCGTGGAGAGGCTTCCTGAGGCTTTCTTTAAACCTCAGATCAGACCACAGCATGTCTTCACCCATTGTGGTAAGTGAAAACTATGTTAGTAGTTCATTTATAGCTCATGTGTGTTTCCTAGAAGTGAAGGCCTGATCTGTGGGCCTTGGGAGCAATAGGATAAGGGTCAAGGTCCTCTTTCTGTTCTCCTTTTCTCTATTTTCTGTAATGTTTCTGTGCATTTCAGGTTTTTCTAAACATGCCTGTGATACTTCTTTGTCACTACTGTGGTGTCCAGGTTCAGCTCCTAGTTCAGGGTTTACAACTTTTCTCTGCGTACAACATAGAGTGCTTTCTGTTGCTTTTTGAGTGTGTGATTGAAAGGTAGCCAGTTGGTCTTTTTGGAGGTTCTCTTTTTTAAATATTTGGTTTTTAAAACAATTGCTTAGGAAAAATCCATTCAACCATTCTGTTTTTTGGCAGGAATTATGACTACTTTGAGCTTGGCGTTCCCTAGTTGGTGGGCTTGCAGTTATAAAGTAATTGTTTGCAAGTACCAGTTGAACGTTTCAAAGTTACTTTGGTTTTCTACTGTTGAAAAATTTGATGAAGCATCAAACTCATACGCCACTTTGTGAACCCCCAGGTATTTTGGGGGGTTTTGGTTTTCACTAAATTACTATGCTGTATGCTTTGTTGCTGCCACCCTATGGTCTGGTAGCATAATGCAACACTGGAAAAACAGTAAGTGTCATCTCAGACAAATTTTTCACCAGTTCCTCTATCAAATAAAATAGGCAATTTTGCAATTTCTGAGGGTCCCAAGGGTAATGCTCAGTACATTGCATATACCTTGCACCGAAGTAGTACTCAAGCATGTTCAAGAGTTCTCCAGGAACTGTATTTCTGATGTTCACTTGCTGATCTGCTGTTTTCTTGTTTTGCACCTTTTTGGGGACATGTTATAAATTTTGTTAGGATGTGTGAATGGAGGGAAGATGCCTGAGGGGTTACATCCATTGTCCTTGCAAAGCTGGAAGTGGAAGGAAACATGTTAAGATAACATTGGACTCTATAATCTCTCTGTATCTTCTTCTCTGTCCTAAAATAATCTTTTGAATGTTAAGTTTCCTTTAATGCCTAAATAATCTCGTTTGCAAAATATTGTCGTGGATCTAAAAGATGATTGATCACTGTGTGCTTTTCATTTTGTCTTGTTTCTCATGCGGCACAACAGAAAAATGCACTGTAAGTGAACCTGAAATTACTTATTGTGCTGGTTTTGCTTGTAATTCCCAGTGTGTTTTTGTGTGTGAAGTGTTTCTTTTCTGAGTTGCATGTGAAGGAAAAAGGAGATGTTGCTACATTTGGTTTTGTTTGATACAGTGCTGTATCTGTTTAATCATTATGGCATAATTAATTTTTTGCTATGTCAACTAAACAATATATTCATGGCTGCAGTTAAATACGTGGAAAAAGTTTTCTGCAAGCTTCAGCTTTATTACATCATTGTAACGCCTGACCGCATCATGGTAGGTAAGGTCTGTTTGTGGCTCTGATTTAGTTTTTATGAGAGTGTATTAGTGCATTTTGAGCTGACATGCAGTATTTGTAGTCTCCTACGCCTGTGAAACATGCTTGAGATTTATTCATGTGTTTTTTCGCTAATGAAATACTGGACACCAAAATTTCCTTTGAAGTTCACTTTTTGAACTCATGACAGCTGAGAAAATTCTTTTCATCAGGCCTGTTTTATGTTTGTCAGGCTTTGGCACCTAGTAGTTCTGGAAATTCAAATCCATATGTTTTGTTCACTGATTTGAAAGGTAATTGTCTATTTTAGAAACTTTATTTTTAAGCAAGTCTTCAGCTTCCTGCATTAGGAGGTCTCTAATTGTGGTAAATCTTGCTCTGTTTAAACTGAAGTCTGCTGCTGCTTCTCTTTCTTTACAAGTTCTTCTTGCTGATTCCTTCTTCTAGTCAAGCCATGTTCTGGCGTTTGCATCTCTCCTGAGCTCTGTGGGATTGTCCAGATGTTATCAGATGCTTCCCTGGCCTGCAGGCAGTGGCCAAATCGTTGTCATGTTCCAACAGAGCTGTAACACGTCAGTTTTTCATGACATTGTGTTGGTGCGTCACGACAGTTTTTCCTTCCAGGCAAATTGGGAACATCAGCCTCCAAAGGAGAGAGTCCATGAGGTCCACTCATACTACAACCTACTCTTTCATCTCCTACATCTGTGCAAAGTGTTCATATAGCAGGGTGAGCCAAAGGCTTATTTATGAAAAGAAGTCATCCTAGTGTAATTTGGTGCAATTAGGGCAAAAAATGTAGACGGACCTGCGTATAAAAATTATACATTTTGTCAGCCTTTCTCCAGTGATGCAAAGTGATTGGGGAAACTCTTCCATACTCATAACTGTCCTTACAGAGCACTGGTTTTCATTCTGCTTAACTGGCAGTAACAGCAGTCATGGAGGTTGGCTCACCAAATGAAAAGTTTTTTCAAAAAAAAATTAAAGCCACCACTTTGCACAAATGCTGTGGAGGAGAGTATGGTTCAAATGCAGTCTTCTGGTTTTCCGTGTCATTTGCAACTTGGCTCTCATTTGTGGGGAGGATGACGTGAATTATATGGCACAATGGCACATGCTAGACAATGAAAATGAGATTATGGGAGGGTGGAGGAAGGGATGGCTCTTTCTCCAGATACAGAATCAAATACAGGTTGGGATGTTCTAGTCAGCAGATAGCTGTCCTGCAGAGCTGGAGGTGGCTAAATCCATTGCTGAATTTGGAGGGGAGGGCCACAGGGCTGCGTATTGATCCAGAAGCACAGAGAACTGGCTCTGCAGACATCCAGGAGTCTCAGCTTCGAACAGGGCCCTGTGACTGTTTTGAACATCTTCTGGGGCGTTGTGCTGCTGGTGGCCCGATAGAAAGGTCCTATCTCAAGCTGGTGCAGGACTGCCAGGCTCAGAGCATCCTGCCTGGCAGTCCTGCTGTAGGTTACAGCCAAATGCTCCTATTGACAGCAGCAGCACAGATGTGTTGATTTGAGGGATTTTTATCAAGCTTCAAGGCCTAACGTGCTGCCTGCCTGGGGCTCACGTGGGAGGTTATTCACATCCCATGCAGAGTGAGGGCTCGCTGTCCATCCCTCATCTGGGCGCTGCAGGTGGGGCTCAGGCTGCATGCTGGCACTGTGCTGAAGGAAACTTGCTGGTCAGGTGGCAGAGTTTGGGTGCTTAAAATGCCTTAAGATAATACGTAACAGAGGTACTTGAATTGTAACTGAGAGTAAGACACCTCTTGTCAGTAGTGGTAGTAAGCTGGAAACATCAGCATATGCTTGCTTCTAGCGTGATGTGCACCGCGCTGCTGTCACTCCAAACGCAGTCTGCTAAAACTTCAAGTACTTCCAGGATGTCTGTTTGAGATCATGAGCATGGGTAGAAGTAAATGTGATGCTTTCCCCACTTCTGAAGTGTCCCCTCTTTGTCGTTGCTTTTCTGCTTGGAGGACAAACATTAAGCCTTAAGCAAAAGAGGGTGAAAAGGTGGTAAAAGACACTGCCCTAAGTGCATTTAATGGTTCTCTCTAGGACATGAAAGAATTAAAGTCGACCTTTCATCAAGGTGTTGAAATCTTACTTGTGCAGTTCTTAAGCATTATCACTTGTGCACATACCTTGAAGAATTTGTACCTTCTATACCTGCTTACATTTGCAAAACGCGATGTGTAATGTCACTTAGCACATGAAAGGGATTGAAGCCCTGTTAATGGTGTTGCTGGTGGTTCAGGGAAAAGGTGTAAAAGGGGGTTGACTACTCCTTCCCCCTGCCAAAGTTATTCAAAAGTATTAAAGAATTTGAAAAAACAGCAGTCAGTGAGATGGAAAGTGCCTCTCAGGCTGTAAATAAAAGCTGCTATTATGAGATGGTATAAACAGTATGCTTTGAAACTTTATATTAGGAAGCCAATGACAACAAAACCTTACTTTGTTATCTGATAACTTCTTAAAAGAATTAGTCTCTGTTTATTTTAAAACTATTGTATGTTCAGTAGGTAAATCTTAGAAGTTTAGGATGCCATGTGTACATATGCTGAATAAATGTTCTTCCCAGGAGTGATTATTCCACTAGAAGAGCACTGTAATAACAAGGAGATTGGCTTATGTCATAGAGAAATTAGCCACAAACTTCCTTCCTTAATTCTTCCACAGAAAATCTCTGGTCCATTGTATCCTAGTCTTTTAATTTAAAGTCAGATGACAAAGCAATGCATTGCATTTGTTCCAACTTTTTTGGGACTCGTTTTGATATGATAGATGTTTCTTATTTAGTTGTTAAGAGATTACTTTGAGCTGATATTGTCTCTCCTTTTTTTCCATGATAGCTGTAACTCTGCGAGGAGACAGTGGTCGAAGATCGGAGAGGAGAGCCAGGCGAGTTTCAGCATGTCTCTCAGATCATTCACTGGCTAGTGACAGTGGCGTGTTTGAAGCTTTAAGCAAAAGGTCAGGTGTATAAATGCTTAGTAAGCTGGAAATATTCCTGTTCTGCCACACGGTCTGAAAGAATTGACTGTAAATTTCTGAATATGCTTTCAAAATAGATGATTCCAAGTATCATAAGAATATTAGATTGTACATATTCGACAAAAGAAGCTTTTTACATGCAGTTCCACTGTCATCCTCACAGTTGTCCCTTTTACTTCATTTTCTCTAATATTTTAGCACCCAATACTTCTCCCTTGAAAGAGTTTTCTCATTTGTTAGTTGTAAATCAGTATTTTTATTTCAACCATCTATAACAAAATGAAAATATACTGAGTAAGACATAGAGTTCTGGGAAGCATATGATTAAAAGTGTAAGTTTTCCTACGATGAAAGGAAAAAATACATGAATTGCTGAAAATCTAAACATGGATAGGTTGGACAAGTTGTTGAAGGAGGGTAAAGATATTTTATACAGTTCTAAATTAGTAAGCAGTAACTGAGAAGAAGTTAAGGTGTTGATGATTCTAAAGAGAAACTAACATAAGCATTTTGAAAGTGTTATTCTAAAAGCTTAATTTCTTAAATTGCTGCTTCTGTTCTGTGTGTTTTTAAATAGGTATCTCAGTCCCTCCTGTACCAAACAGTTGCTTATATCCACAGATCACAGAATAAACGTTGAATTCATTATGTTCTAACAGCATAGGTCATCATGTAGTTTACAGTACTTTCTGTTTGTGCAGGAATGAAGATATGGAAGAGCCTGTTTATGTTGATATTGCCAGTAATGAAGATCCACAAATACATGTTGGATTTCTGTAAGTAGTGCTACTTTACTTTATCCATGTCAATTCAACAGACATTGCTCACTAGTTTTCTTCGTTCTGGTTTTAAACTTCTTAATAAACTGGACCACTGGATAGCTTTAAGAAGCTTTTGAACTGAAAGCCAAAGTCTAGTGGATGTACAGGATAGTCAACATGCCACTTCCAGCTGGGGATGTGTCCCAACCACTGTTCATTTGGTGTCCTTTAAATGCTGGCTGGTGAAAGGACTTTTGTTACTTCTTCCAGTAGCATTTTCATTGTGAGTATGGTAGTAGAGATACATCTCAGTGTGTGAGATCTGACATTTTCCAGATAAATGAGGATCTGGAAGAAGAGAAGGTGAAGAGAGATAAAAATAAAGCTCCCAAATACAGCTTTGAAATCCTGTGCCTCGGACAAACTATTGTTAGTAGTGGGAGTACTGCGTGGAAGAGCAGATTATAGCAGTGCAAGACAGGTTTTCCTGGTTTAGACAGACCTCCAGAATCTTCTCTACCCTTGGGAAAAAATAATTCCCAAGGCTGCTGGCAGTTTTCAAATTTCAAAAAGTTGTGATAGTTCTATTTCAAAATCCATACTGTTATGGAAAATAAGAATATATATATATATATATATTTTATTTTCATTAATCCAATGCAGACTGACTGGCTTAGTGTAACTGATATGTCACTCACATACGTATGCTTCTGGTATAAGCGTTTAAAACATGGAATCTATTTTATAAAACTTCACTATGAAGAGTCACACTAGGGAATATCTTTTTGAATTGAATAATGTTTAATTCCCATAGTTGTGATAAATTTGTTACTGTAGCTAATCTTTTATGGTTCTGAATGTGGTATCTTTAAATGCTTTTGATTCAAACTGATTTCTGTTAGAGCTTCATTTAACTGAAAAAGGTGCTTTTGCTTTCTTAAAATCTTCCGAATCTTTCACCTGTATTTCTTAGGGAAAGTATTGATGCTTGGTGACTAACACCAGAAATTTATTTTCCAGGCATGACAGTGGAAGCGAATGTCTCTTAGTCCATGTATTACAGCTGAAGAACTTCTCTAGCCTAGTTGTTAAAGAAAACTGCAAAATGTAAGCATACTTTACACCAAAAACCTGATCGTTGCTTATCTTGTGCAGTAATCTTAAGTGCTATAAATTTGTTTACTTCATGCAAAATTAAGCCATTACTCAGGTATAAGCTAGCATGTTCTAGTTTATGTGGGGAAAGGGTTCATTTTGTGGACACAAGGCATCCTTTTTATGGAACCTCTCTCTGTCCTAGTTAGTGGTCAGGTAGCAAATGTAGTCTCTAATGACACATTTTCTTGTGCTGATTATTTACAGGAAAAATAATTCAAAAACATAAAAATCATTCTTCTATCACTGCATGCATTCTGGCCAAAGAAAATAAACAATGTTTTGCTTTATTCCAGGAATATTATTTCCTGTAAAACTTCTCTACAGGTTATCTGTGATGTGTCCCAGAATAAGCTTAGTGTAACTTTCTTAAATAGCTAATGTAACATACATAGTAATCAGTAAGAAAAAAAAAGTTTTTTGACAAAAAACCCTGCTTTTATCTACTTTTTATATTTATTTATAATAATAAATATCAAAATAGGACAACTGCAAGTTTTTGTGGCTGTGCCAATTCTCCTGGAGTATCTATGAAACACCTTCCAAAATAATTTTAACATAACAACTAGCTGAGAATCAGTACAAACAACCATATTTTTATTTTTTTTAACTTCTGGCTGCCTGTGGTAATGCTTCAAATTACGTATCGCATCATGTAGAATATTGTTTTGTTTGTTTAGTGGTTCTTAAACAGTGGCAATGTTGCTGTAAAACGCAGTCCGATGTAGTCATATGTGTCTTAATAGATTTTAAAGAAATATGAAAATTGTTGATCTTTATCTCAGAGAAGTTGTTTGAAAACTGGAAAATGGAGGTGTGGCAATATTGTTGTGTTGTAAAATAGCCCACTAAGTGGGAGCTGTTCAACTAATGTGCATTTTGCTGAATGAGTTGGTCTTTGTTCAGAAAGTTGACCTTGCAAACCCTGCAAACCTCTAGTGGAACCTTTTCATGTAGGTCAGTGCATTAGTGGCAGGCTTTTGCTTTGTTTTCAATATTGGTACAAGGGCATCGTAGAGAGAAAAAATGTGAGTAGTGCTCAACCATGTTTCCTTGTGATTAGAAAAAAAAAAAATACACAAAAAAAAGGCATCTAAATAAAAGCAAATGTAGTCACCAAGGAAAAGAATGACTCCAGAGGATTCATTGGACACTTGTCATCAAGGCAACCAAGCCTCTAAGTGACACTAAAAAAGGCACTTCTGTTCCTTCTTAGTTAGCTGCTTAGGCTGGAATCTATAAATTGTGTGGCTGCAGGGTAAATCAGTTACTTGACTGACTTGAAAAAAAAAAAAAGTTAATCTTGGCAAGACTAGAAGAAAGTTTTAGCTGGTCTAATGAGTTCCTCCATGCTTCTGTATGTTCACTGAATCTGAATTACTGGGGTGGCACTGGGGAGGCTACCTGCAGCAGGTGGTGAGCAGAGCAGCTGGTTCACTCCCTTTTTACAGCATGGGCCAGTTTAGCTAACTGGTGCTCCATGCTCCAGTGCTATGACTCCATCATAGTGAGCTCTTCCAATTGTCCTCTAACCACTTCCTTGTCTGCCACTGTCTCTTGTGGTGGCATAGGAGTACAGGCAGTGGTGTAGTCAATTACGGTGAGCCTCTGAGCTGGATTTTTTTTTTTTTAAATGAGCTGTTTTTTTCTAGGTTATCTTTTTAACCCAGATGAGTTTTCTAGCCTGGTTCACAATGCAGTTGCATGAACTGGCACAAGGGAAGGTATAGCAAGAGATGTGGTATATTGCAGGGGCTAGGCAGAACGTAGAAGCACTTCTTCAAGTAGGTATGTTCCCTTCTGTCAGGTTAAAATGGTTGTGGATTTTGATTTTGGCTTGGAGTCCAAAATGAGATGGTATCAGATGTATATATTTTTTTAAGATGGCAAATCTTAAAAAATCTTAATCTTTGCCGTCCTTTTGTGCTGAATTTCTCAAGGGAGGGGGCGAGGGGGTTAAAGGGGCTTAGTGGATGTAGGGAAGAAATGGAGGGGCAATTCAGTTGCTTAAACATAGGCATATGTTTCCACTTGAAATGTCATAGCGTAGCACCTGGCCTCCAGCTGCTGCTGCTCAAGAAGGCTGTAGTTCTCCTGTAGATTCTATGTCATACTTGCAAGCCCCATGTAGATGCCTTAGATACCTCAGGGCATCTCAAGTGGCACTTGGTGCCTGTGCTTAAGCACCAACTTAGAAAAAAGTGGGGTTTAGTTAGACAAAGATGGGGTTTCCAAATCAGTTTTGCTCTTCTGTGTTAAGAATACAAAGCAAATTCCTGTAGCAAAGAGATCCCGAAGTAGATCCTTAATACAGAAGTTACACTGATGATTTTGCTTAGCTTAACTTTCAGAAGTGAGAAGTACCTGAAGATAGCTTTCTTTGAACTATGCTATTTGTCTGTTTTGCTGTTCCAGTCACGTGAGAGTTTATTTGCCACCGCTTGAGTCAGGCACACCGACCACTTACTGCTCTAGAGCTTTGGAATTCCAAACTCCGTTAATATTTAATGAAGTTTTCAGAATCCCTGTGCATTCAAGTGTTTTGAAATTAAAATCACTGCAGCTGTATATCTGCTCAGTTGACCATCAGCAACAAGAAGAACTACTGGTAAGTGGCCCTTTGGTCCTTTTTTTTTTTTTTTTTAAAGCTTCATGATATGGGAAATAAAGATTTGGAAGTAATTAGCAAAATTACCAGAGGTTGATAATTGGAGCATTTTAAGCAGCATTGAAATTACCGTTATCTGTGCTATTAATATAACTGTTACATTGCAGAGCCATATTTAAAACTGATACAATATTTATATTAATTGCTGTGGGATTTAGTAGATAAGGAGTGTCTTTAATGCATTTTTTTTTAAAACAAATTTCTGCTTTGGGGAAAGCTGAAAAATCTGCAGTTGCTAAATGTTAGTGCAAGAGGAACACATTGAAAAAGTTAAACGTTTTCCCAAAGACTTCATCTGACAGATTTCAGGCTACAGTGTGCTCAAGACTTCCGTTTCTGCATGGCACTATAATGCATGCGCAATGAGTCTATATCTGCAAAACAATTTTCTAATAAAAAAGATAGCCCATTGTTGCTGTGGTTTGAGAAGACTAAACTTGCAGAGTAATAGTGATCCAGGCTAACTTCTGTTATTTTATTTTAAACTGTTTGAGGCATCTAATGTAGATGCATTCAAATAGGTATAACATTGCTTAAATAGGTTACACGTTAACTGTGTTAACTTTAGATGTGTTAAATGTCAACTTTGTTTATTTTCAAATGTAAATATGCTTAAATTAATCTACATTGGGTCTGATATTTTGAAGTCATTGGGCTGGCATTTTAGTGAGGGGTTTGAATGGGGTAGTTAATTTTTTTAAAGCCTGTAGACATAGTTAAGAGGTACAAGCATCTCAGTGTCATCCTAGACAATGGATAAGAGGTGTTTATTTGAACAAAACAGGTCAAGAATGTATGTTAGTTAGTCTACCTTTCAAACTAGATACCATGTTAGATAAACAGTGGCCTTAATGTTGACAGAAGTAGACCCAAGGGCTTGTCCGCAGCTGGATGTTTGGTCATTTTTACTGCTGCAACCTAATTAAGGAGAAAGCATCTCAAGAATGGCCTGGATATATTGGTATAAATTGCTTTATATTGGTATAGTCTGTTCCTCTGAGAGGCTAAATAGCCGTTTCAGTGTAAAGCATCTGTATATTGACACAAGCACATCTAAGTTTAGGATGCTTTTATTTTAACTGCTGCTACTGAATTAGCAAAAAATGATAGGCTTTCAGAACGTCTTCAGGATTTTTTTATCCTTTATAATCAGCATACTTTTGTCAGAAATATCTGTCTACAGTAGTAGGTAACATATACTTAAGGATAAGGTAACAGTACTACTTAAAAAGAGAGAAACAGTGCCATGGACCTTCAGGTAAGCGCATTGAAGTCTATATTTAAATATACTGCTTGTTGCCCTCTTGCTGTAAGTTGAAAAATAAACATATTATTGAATTAAGAATTCATTTATTTGGAACTGTTGTTATGGCCTCTGTAATTGTCTTTCAAAATCTCCACAATTTTTTGTCTGTTTGATTGAATGTTTTTGAAGTTCTTGATGACCAATTTCTTTTAATTAGATTATGCCAATATATAGCTTTCCTAAATGCAGGGGTCAGGCTGGAGTGTATCCTAAGTTAAACAAATGACTGTATATAACAGGGAAGAAGAAAAAATGAAGTAAAAAATTCTGGCAAATAGTTCTAAACTTCACTTACATAGGGAAGTAAATCTACTGAACTCGTGTGTCTTTCAGTTCCCTCAATCCACATATGCCCTGCCTTGATGAAAGATCCTACTGGTTTACTATAGCTCTTCAAACCTGGTTCTTTAGGTTGGCGTATTACTTCCCTGGTGGCCTCATCAATGTTGAGATAAGGGAGTTGTTATTTTCCACAATTAGCACATATTGCTCGTGTTAAAACTTCAAAGAAATGCCTTTCCTTGCAATAACATGGCTTTGCAGTTTTACGCCATTTCTGGTCTTTTGTGGCCTTGACCAACCTGTTACTCCCCAGGTCTTAATTTGAACTCCTCTTCAGTGTAATATTTGTCTTTTAGCATTTTGTCTTTTTATTTTAGAACATCTGTCCCATTTTTCAACACCATATAAAATTCTCATAAATTTTACAGTCCCCCTGTTAGTCATCACCAAGAGATTTGTAAGTCCTTTTACTGTTCTGCTATCCAAGCTGTTAGCAAATACATCAGAACAGGTACATGACAGACCCATCTTGACTTCCTCCTTGTTATAAGCAAGCTCCAAATCTTAAGGTGAAGATAAAATATTTATTAGTCCTATCAGTACTAATCGCCATCAAAACAAATTAAAAATTATTTTCTACTCAAGCAGTAATCTGCTTTGTAGCAATAACTTCTTTGTCATGCCTTTTTAGCTTATGAAGAAATACGGTGTATAGGGCAGTGCGAGACATCTTAAAGTTGAAGGATATTTTCAATGTCTGTAACAGAGGAAAACAGATTTTCCCTTTACCCCCCAAAACAAACTCAGCATTTCTTAAATGCTATCCAACTCTGATATAAAAGTGTGTTAGATGTTTTTCATTTACTGTGTCAGAAGAAGTAGATAACTAGTAGACATCTCTGTTTGCTATAATAAAGGAAAGGTATTTCTGTTTGGAGCATCCAGTATGCTGATATAAAATGACATTCTTAATAATATGCTGTGTCCCAATATGCCATTCTGTTGTTAGTCTCAAAAAATCCATTCCCCCGTTGTTCTTTGTACACCTGTTTAAACAGAGCCGCAGGGAACATTCATTTAGGTCAACACGGCTCAGAAATTTCTTATGTGAACACCGTTTGATATAGTAGGCTTACTTTAAAGTTGGGAATTCTTTTTAGTGGGAAGCCTCAATTAATTGTAAAGATAGCTTGGAAAGTGGAAAAATGAGATTATGGTCTGCTTGATGAACTTACTATATAAACAGGGAAAAAAAAATGTTTTATATGACATGTTTTCCCCCTTTGGAGGATGCCTTTGATGACTAGGGAACTGAAAGATATCTCAGAATATAGTTCTGTCAAAGGAAAATAGGTTAACTAAAGTAATATTGTTTTAATAATGCTAATTTAAGCAACTGCAGAAAACAGACATGTAATTGAGAGCTTTTAAAATAAAATATTAAGAACTGATGGTGTTAGTCATACTACATCAGTCATAGTAAGTTTCCTTTTCAGTTTCAAAAATTTAATACCCACTCTGATCCTTTCAGGTAGTAAGCAAGAGACAAGAAATTCAGTATCTTAGACAATGTATTTTTTTCACATTATAAATGCATTTATAAAAGCCTTTTTTTCCCCATTATAAATGAGATACTCCTTAAATGACAAGATATCTATCCTGCTGTGTGTGTTTATCTTATCGTGGTGAATATGTTTTGTTGTTTACAGGGTATTGCTCAGATAAACCTGAGTGATTTGGAGAGTTCTGGTGAGATGCAGCTTCACTGGTATTCTGTTCAGATCTTCACTGGTTCAGACCCCCAGAGAGCAAAGAATAAAAACCAGTGTGAAGAAAATATTCCCCGGTCTTCTGGAAATGTAACTACAGTTAAAACGGTATGGATCGGAAAAAGTGATTTGTTTACTTCATTTGACCTGTTGGGTGGTTGGTTGCATCTGATCTTATCTTGGATACAGTTTGTTTGTGAGATGCAGAGAAGATTAATTGAACTCTTGTAGCAAGAACTGGAATATAAAAAAATAATTAAAAGCCATGTCTGGACAGGTGCTTGAAATATTACTTGTATGTTTGTATGCACGCCTCCAGTTCAACTGACTAAAACTCATTAAAAAAATCTACCACTACACTGGAGGAGGCTGCCAAGAAAGGTTGTGCAGTTTCCATCCCTGGAGGTTTTTCAGCATGCCACTTAGCCCTGGGCAACTTGGTATAATTCTGAAGCTGTCCCCATTTTGAGCAGCATGTCAGACTAGGTGACTTCCAGAGATCTCTTCTCACCTAATTTACTGGATGATGCTGCACTGCGTGTTAAAGTCACCCAATCCACAAATGGCTTTGACTCAACTTTTTGGATTCTGAACTGCTGTGCGATATAACTGTAAAGCATTCACTTTCTGTTTCTGTGTTCACTTTCTAACATTTTCTTTTAAAAGTTGCATTCATGGGACACCAAGTACTTCTTGATTATTGAGATTCAGGACAGACTTTAATTTTTTTTTAGGAACATACATGTACAAGGACCATGGTTGTATTTTGTTTTCTCTGAATACTATACATTGAATACAAAGGCTTGTTCAAATGGATTTGTCTGAAGTCAAATTGTTACCTTCTAGGATGCAGTGACAGCCCTGTTAGCCAGGACCACTGCCCAGCTGGAAGCAGTTGAGAGAGAGTTGGCAGAAGAGAGAGTGAAACTGGAGTACACCGAGGAGGAAATCCTGGAGATGGAAAGAAAGGAAGACCAGGCAGAAGCTATATCAGAACGGTAAAAATAGTAGCTCAAATACCTCATCAAACAGCCAAGTACTATTTACACTGTAATTATGCTCTGAAATACAGCAGGAGAAAGAGCAGATCCTTATGTTGAGATCTGTTCCCTGTTAGTGTTATGGGTATAAAATTGTTTTATCATGTGATGATGTGCAAACAGGAAAAAGCTTCATTTGAATAGCTAGCTGAGTTTATAGGACTTGGAATGTGGGGAGTGGGAAAACATTTCTTTTGGATCAAACATAAGCTTCATTAGGGAGGCAACTGTAATTTGTGCATCTGCAGAAATGCAAGTGGGATGTGTTCTCCCTTTGTAAATTTTGTATTTCTATTGCAGAAATAATACTCTAAAATGGTAAACTGACCTGGATAATGAAATATACAAATAGAATTCATAACTTTTTTTTTTTTAATACCTACAAAATCCTTGTAATGTTCTAACTTCAGGAGTTGGCAAGCAGAATCTGTTGACAGTGGATGCAGTAATTGCACCCAGACTAGTCCTCCTTATCCGGAGCCATTTTGCGGGGATTCGTTAGCTGGACACATGTTTGCAACTCCAGCAGGCCAGTACAGTTCTGGAAAAATCCAGCCTCCACCACTAAAGGTAATGAGAAAAGACACTGCAGTATGGAAACTGCCACGATGCCTGGCGCACACAGTATGTGTTACTGCTGCTTGTTGAGTTTGAGTTCAAACTGATAGGGAGAGAATAGAATCAGAAATGACATTAGCAATCCTATATGAGCACTGTCGTGATGACAGTGGTATGCCTTTTGAGTTGTTAAAAATGTCCTCTTTAGGGCAGTGGGTTTTTTTTTGTTTGTTTGTTTGTTTACTTGCTAGTAATTTCGGAACAGAACTATTTTTTTTTTTTTTTTACATCAAAAGGCAAGCTATTTTTACTGCTGCTTTTATCTAACTGTGAATATGCACTTGTATAAATGTTTGTATTGACTTGAAATTATAACAAAAAAAAATCATGATCTAATTCCAGTGCTCTTAGAAATTAGAATTGTTGAAGGAATCGTGCTGGAACTGAGGTATTTAAAATCTTTCAAATTCAAGATATGAGACATTGGAAATAATCCTGACAAGCTGAAATCAAGAAGCTTTCATTAAAGTAAAGGAACACTTATTTGTGTTGCCTTCAGGGAAGATTCTGTTTCATATTTTGGAATAAGTTATCTTAAAAGTTTTGATACTATGATAGAGTAGCATGTTTTTTTTTCCTATATTTCCAAATATTTTAGTATTCTTGTGCCACTGTTTAACAGTCTTTCAGTTCCCTTTCATTGGGTTTCTTCTCTTCATTTGAATTCCTGCAGTTTTAAGGTTGCTTTGTGTTTCAGTCACCTTGCTTTTGGAAATATGTCTTAGTTTTCTCCTTCTGTTGAGGCTGGGAGATCAGGTGGTAGCTTGATTAATGCCCAATTTCTAATGGTGAATGCAGTCTTTGTGCTCTGCAGCTATGATTCATGTTATAACTGCATCATATAATTGTTACTTTTCCAGGGAAGTTTCTGAAAAGTAATCTTATAATTTTGAATGACCTAGTTTTAAAACTGCTAAAAATGAAGTGATTCATCCTCCATTCTCAAGGCTCATTAAAACTTTAGCCTAGCTAACAAGGCAAATTGTTTACTTTTGATATGGTTGAAATGTCTGGTTGGTTTTGATGAGAAAGAGAAAATAAGGAATAAAGTAAAATAAAATTCCTTCATTGTAATTTTAGGTGGATAAGGAAACTAACACTGAGGATCTGTTTCCTGAAGAAGTTGCTATTCTTCCAAAAGAGAGAACTAGCCGCAGGCCACGGGGTTCTGCTTTTGTTCGCAGTAGCACTATTGTTCGTTCCCAGACCTTCTCGCCTGGAGCACGAAGTCAATATGTTTGCAGAGTGAGTAAGGCTTTAAAAGAAGTTTCGGGGAGAGGCCTCCACACAAGTATTTTCTGTATTTTTGATAACTTCTTCTTAAAATTTGAATTATAAGAACTATATACTACTATTTGATAATAATGAATAATATTTAGGTGAATGTAAATGTTGCACTGGGGAAGAAGTCCCCTGGTTCTTTATCTTTCTGAGTTTAAAACTGTTTTTTTTTGTTTGTTTGTTTGTTTTGTTTTGTTTTGTTTGTTTTTTCTTAAATTCAGATTTAAGAACCTACAATAACTTGAATCTTAAACCTTCTTTAACTAGCAGTCTTAGATATTGGGCTAGATTGATTAATTTTATGGAGGTCCAGTGCTGCCTAACGAGGTGTATGAACAGTGAGCTTAGAGGCCTTGTTTAACTTCCAGGTACATAAAAGTTGGATAAAGGGGGACTCAATGCATAATCCTGTGGTTACTGCATAAATATTCTTAGGGCTTTTTTGCTGCTGTTGCGAATGTCAATCATAGGATGCCCATTACAGTGGTATGCGGGGTTCCTGGGTGCACTGGTACAAGTAATTGAGAATCAGCACAATAATTCCAAACTCACGTTGAGTAGTTGCTATGTTCAACTGCAAAAGGCTTATAAGCAGTTTTCTCCCACCATTGCAGACCAATATATTGATACTAATTTTGGTATACTGGTGGAATGTCCACAGCTTGAGTTGTACTCTTTCATAAGATGTTGAGAGCTTGAGTTTGAATATGCCATAATGATTTTTAAGCCAAGAATCACCTGTTTTTTGCTCTCTTGTTTGTGTTGTATCCAGTGTATCAATGGACCACATCAAATTTTCAATATGTGCACTACTATATATAATTTTTTATAAATAGTTAAAGGCAATTTTTTGATTTAATTTGCTTAAAACAACACAATTTCATTTTTTTAAAAATAATACATCTTAAAATAAAAAAAATAAATCTGAATTTAGATGTAAACAACCTTTATTTTCAATATCTTTTCTACTCAGCTGTATCGCAGTGACAGTGACAGCTCAACTCTGCCAAGGAAGTCACCTTTTGTCCGGAATACCTTGGAGAGGCGTACTCTACGGTATAAGCAGGTATAGCTACGAAACCTTTTTTTACTTAAATTGCTAGAAAAGTGGCACTGGTAGACATGTAAAGCTTTGGTATAAACGTAAACTGTGATGTTTTTAGGAAATATATGAGTGTTCTGTTATGTGATTAGTGTGAGGGGTTGTTTTGTTTCTTTTTATTTTTTAAGCTGAAAGACACAGAAGTGAAATACTGTTGTGAACAATTGCTGAGGAAAAAACAAGGTGTGGCAGACAACAACTAGCCACTGGATTTGTATTGATTTAGATGTAAACTTTGTTAAATCTTTAAAATCTAGTTTATGATGCAGGGTGCAGGCCTGCAGAAGTGTGTATGAATAGTGGGAAAACATCTTGCTCCCCTCCCATGCAGCCTACAAGCAGCAGTATTTGAGGAATAAATAGGTTAAGTTCTCCTTTTTCTTCCCACCCTCCAGAACAGGTGGGTAGAGAAGGACAGGTAAGGTGTTACCTGTAGATAAATCATGTAGGTAAATGTCATATGGTTTAGCCTGGTAAGCAGAAGTTAATCTCTTGCTTATGTATGTAAGTAGACCAGCATGCTTCCCATTTTGTTTTGGAACATATCTAAAAGCCAATACTGAATAAATTTCTTTAAGGGAAATCTGTTGCACCGTGCACTGTTTTCTAGCATCGTGATTCAGTTATGAGTTCTTCGTGTTATATCCCTTTTATTGTCATCATTACGTAAGAGTTCAGTCCATAAACTTAAATTAGTTAATTATTTATAAGCTAAGACTAGACTGTAAAGGAATGTAGTAAAAAGTATTAATTGAAAAAAGCTGTGTTTTGTACAGAAAACCCTTACAGCCAGTTAACCTTTCACTATGGGGTACAAATAACCTCTCTAAAACTGTGTCAAAAAAAAACAACACTTTTTGTAGAGTACATAAATAAAATAAAATGCATGCCCTTTGTAGCTAAAAATAGGCCAGTATACCATGTACCATGTTAAGAATAACATTCTGTGCATTTTATTTGAATCCAATTAATTCAGCAGTCCTGCAGATCATCTTTGGCTGAGCTTATGGCAAGAACGTCCTTAGACCTGGAGCTGGATCTCCAGGCATCCAGAACTAGACAGAGACAGCTGAACGAGGAGATATGTGTCTTAAGAGAGTTGAGACAGCGTCTGGAAGATGCTCAACTCAGAGGGCAGACAGATCTACCCCACTGGGTCCTTCGGGATGAGCGATTCCGAAATTTGTTGAAGGAAGCAGAGAGGCAGGTAAGCTAACATTAGATGAGTAGTCAACATTTTCAGAAACTTCTCATTTCAAAACTTTTTGATTGTAGAAAAATCTCTAAGGAGCTTTTTTTTTTTTTTTTTTTTTACAAAATTTCAAAATAACTAGAGTTGCTTCCATATATACATTAAGAAATTAAACAATAGTATCAGTCTCCTTCATTTATATTCATTCATTTATATTCATTCTCCTTCATTTACATTTATGATCTTAGTTATTTAAGATAATATACTGGTGTGGTTTTACTGGGATGAGTGGTAACAATCCACCATTTTAACCTGGGTAGTCTTGTGTTATATTTATTCACATGATAACTTTTGGCATTATATTTTTTCTCATTTTCAGACAAGACAGACCAAATTTGAACATCACCAAGAACAAGCAGCTGAAAAGATGCTAAAGAAAGCATCAAAAGAAATCTACCAGTTGCGTGGGCAAAATCAGAAGGAGCCTATTCAGGTGCAGACTTTTAGGTAAGTGGTAATGTGTACAGAACTAGTGTAACAATAGTTCATTACGGAGGTTAAAGCTCTCTGAAACATTTAGCTAAAATACTGTGTGTCTTGTATATAACCAGTAATTTTTAACCACATACTGATTTGGGCACATGAGTTTCCTTTGAATCACTTGTAGTACAAAGAGGCAGAGAAACGGTAAAGTTGTAGTGTTACAATTGTAAAACACGAGGAAAAAAATTCTTCAAGTGTACACAACATACCTTTAGGTGATTCTTTCAACTTAGCCTAGTTACTGTTTAGTTCAGATGATTTGTCAGGTCTTCAGTGCTAGCCTGTAGGCCTAAATAGTTTGTTTAGTGTAATACATATACATTACTAGGAACACTCTCTCCCTGAAATTACTCAGTAATATTCCAGCTTTCTTTTAAGCCTCTTCTTTGTGTTTTATTTCCTGTTTCATCTGTGTTTGCATAGTATGTGTCCTCTCTTAGCTTTAGTTTGTGTACAGGTGCCATTGATAATGGGCATTTCACAGGAAGATTTTATTACTTTAGCATTATTTTTTTCCTTTTTTTTTTTAGTAGAATAACATTAGGATTAAGGAATGAAGAAATACTAGTGCAGTGTAGCTGTGGGGGAAAGCTCAGCTACAATTTTATATTCTGCTGTTAGTGTTCCAATTTTTAGAAGTTGTTTGCAGGGCATACTTAAATAAAATGCAAAAGTTGTCTATCCTTTAATGAACTATATTGGAAAGGGAAAGGTCTTCCTCACAGATGTGGAGAGGAAGTAAGAGGAATAAAAATTCTAGCATTGCTTTTGCATCTTGTATTTCTGTTAATAGAACAGGATTCATTTGCTTTGGCTACTGAGATAAAATTATGTGGGGAATTGATGAGATGAGAGAGATGCAGTAAAATGAAGCAAATGATAACTTGCTTGTTTAAATTCTTGCCCCTTGTATGCACACATTCATTTCTTACAACAGGTAAAGAATATTGCTTCTCAATAAAGAAGCAAAAAGATGAAAATGCCATCAGTTTTGTTGTTCTAGGCACTATTGAAAAATGTAGAAGGTGAATTTTGCATTGCAGAGGGAACTTAACGCAGGGCTAGTCCCGTGAAACCTTTTTACAGTGAACTATAATTGATGTCCAATAAGTTGTATAAAGCTACCACCTAAATTTTCAAAAACAGTAGTTGTGTTCAAGGGAGTGCCTCCAAAAGCACGCATTGAGGAGTTGTTTCTCATATTGAAGTAATCCCACAGTTCAACGTGTAACAAATAATAACTACTAACCAGAGTAAAAAAATGATGTTCTTGCAGGGGTGTGGGATATATTTGATTATATTTTATTTGAGGCATATATTTGACTTTCTTTTCATCTTTTTTGGTCACAGAGAGAAGATAGCATTTTTTACAAGACCAAGGATTAACATACCTCCTCTGCCAGCTGATGATGTATGACATGTTGCATTGTAAACATGAAGTATTTATCGCTTTTATTTTAATGAAGTTATTAGATTAGCCAAGTTTCTTTAAAAAAAAAAAGTGCAAAAGCTAATATACACGTTTTGTAAAAAATAAAAAAGTAAAAAAAAGTAAAAGTAAACAAAACCATATATATAAATATATATACATATATATATTTTATAATAGCGACTGCAACAAGGCTTGGTTTTTCCTTGTTGTGAAATTGACATCTCTGAAGACAACTTATTTTATAAAAGATCGACTATCCTGTTAAGAGCGTGTACAGTTTTTATGCTGTTTTATTTGACTTAAAGGCTGGAAGACAGAAACAAAGTGAGTTCAGGCAAATTCACTGTAGTGTAATTTATTTATAGTGCCTTTTTTCCTTGAAGGAAAATACCTACTTTAAGATGTATTTTAAGACTGAAATTTTGTTCTTCAGTATTTGTCATACAGTAGAATGGAACCATTGAGCTGGTTTTGTTTCTGATACCTGAAATGAAAATACTGTGTTCTAAAATTGTCACTTTTTTCAGCTTTATTATCTGTAGCTTATTATGTATATTGTATCCTTTAGCACTGTCTGCGTTATAGCAAAATATTATCACCTGCAATGTGTTTAACACTGATTAGAAGTGATGTTAAACATTGCAGAATTCATTTGCATGTTCTTACTGTGCACTAATAGATTGTTTTCATTTCAGTTTTGTCTAAAATATCTTTATATTCTTAACTAGATTCTCAATTTAAACGGAGGAAGGAAAAGGGTGACAGGTCTTTGTTTTGCTATTTAAGGGAAAAGTAGTTAAAAGAGCACTGTGAGCTAGCTGTGTGGAAAAACTGCTAAAGGAATATAGCAACTTCTACAGTTTTAAAGATTCTGATCTGATTCAGGAAAACACGTGCTAATTTCAGAAAGCAGCTGCAATAAGTAAGGGTGCTTAAGCACATGTTAATCCTAATGGATTTGCTTTGAGGTTACTGCATGTGAGTTCTGTTGTACAGTGACACTTTCCAGAAAGGAGGTGTATAATTCTGGAAGATATAGCTCACTTGATTGATAGTTGGACCAGCAGAAATGTGGTGAGAAATACTTTTCCTGTAACCATTCATTGTAATGAAAGACTGTCACCCTAAATTCCCGAGAATGCCAGTTTTGTGTCCTTGCATCCTGCAAGTATGTAAAAATACTTCTTTACTAAGCTACTATAATAGTTTCTCATATTTTTCTAATTATACCTACACAGAGAGGTGCCCAACACAAGACTAACTTTGCAAATTGCTGGAATTGCTTAGAAGGATGATCATGCTGTCTCTTCATTATGCCCAGGTCAAATTGACTCCAAATTTTTGTATGTCAGGAAACCAAAGCAACAGTCAAAAACTAAACTTATCAAAACCTCTGACCAATGGGAATATTTTAAAATATTTTGTAAGTCGTCTGAGTTTCAAGAGCTTATACTCTGTTAGTTTGTCAAAGATCAGGAAAACCTGATAGTGAAACTGAATTGCTTTTATTTGTCCAGGCTGAGACCAAAAATACTGGAGGGGATGGGATGGGGGCTGGTAAAAGACGTTTTAAGCAAAGACGTTTAATTTTAAGCTACTACAGGCCTGGTATAGCCTATAATCATCACAGACATCAAGTGATCTGGTGGTGTAGCAATACGTATGAAATTAAAGTATGGTTAGCGTTTATCGTGCTAACCATCCTGAAGTCTCTCTTTTTGCCAGTTAAGTTTTGATGGGTGTATATTGGGTTCCTTGGGCTGAACTAGAGCTATTCAGAAACTATGCAGATAAAAGCCACGTAAATCATGTAAGAAATTGCTAGTGCTTGGGTAAAAGTCTAGGGACAGCAAGCTTTCAAGTGCTTGTTACTTGAAAAGATCAGTTGGTCGGAATTTCACGTCTCATGTTCAGTGGAGACCCTTACATAGTAGTATTTATCCAAAGTTACCATGTGGTGATACCAGAAATACTTGCTGTGTACTAAGAATAGACAACACTGTTTTCATGAGGGTGTTCCAGTCCTGGAAGAGCTTGCCCAGAGAGGTTATGAGATCTCTGCCCATGGAGGTGTAGAGGATTTGACTGAGCATGGCCCAGAGCAGCTTGGTTGTGTTAGACCCGCTTTGAGCAGGGGCTGCCATAGGGACCTCGCTTCCACCCTGAATTGTTCTGTGACTGTGTAACAAAGGGGCAATGTCTGGTGGCTTACCTCTTAGGGGGTTCAGCTGGTGTTTTTAATTAGTGACTGCTTGGAGACATCGTCAGTTTATCTTGTGAGTCCGTGATTCTGACTGCTGTAATGAGTTCTGTCTTGATGTGGTAATGAGTTATCATAGTCAGTATTCATCTCTCTCGTTTTTGTCACAGTTCTGTATGATTGTGTCATTTTTGTATTATTTGAAAGTATTTCTTCTATAAAATAAAATAATTTGCCATAAACAGAAAGAGAGTTTTGTTTAATGTCATAGAAGAAGACATTGTTGCAGTGGTTTATATTTGCCACACTGATGATGCTTTCATGAAGAAATTTTATATTTTGTAAAACAGTGTATGTAATGAATTTTCAAATAAAAAAGAGGAAATCTGTGAAGTTAGGGATTCTAGAGAGGTTGCACTGAAGACCTGAAATGGATACAGAGTGTAAGGAATGGCAGGTATGTTCTCCCACGTGCTTATTGCTCATGATAAGCCGACAGCTGTATCTGAGGCTCCGAGCTGAATATTCCAGGAATTCACGGGTAGCTCCTTATGACACATTGAACTGCATTTTTTTTTCTAGCAGAAGTTTGTACTTTGTAGATTAGTATTTGAAATAAATTGACAGCGTTATTTCTGTAGTATCTTCTTTATGACCAATCGCAAGCTGAAAACCACTGGAAAAAATACAAGTTAATGTTAGTAGGCAGAACTGCACTGCTTCTTTCACAAAGGAAAGTTAGACCTTAATATTTATCGAAAGGCCATTTTTTGGTTTCTCTATGCAGCCCTAAGCTGCCAGGAGCATGGGCAAATTTGTAGTACTGACACTTGACACCTTTCTCATCCAGTATTCGCAAGGCGTTAAGGGTATGACACAGTTTAGGTTATTTTTAAAATGGTCTGCTTGAAATAGTCATTTGGAATACCAACTGTCTCGCTACCATCAGGATCAACAACAAAAGCTATAATGGGTATGTTGGTATGAATTTTCTGATATAAACATGAAATCTTATATGTGTTTCTTGCCGTGATTCTTGTAAGCACTTTGCAAGACTTCAAGGTAAGTGTATAAAATGAACAAATGTTTTTTTAGGAATCAAATGAACTATGTATTTTGCATCCATTCTTAGCAGAATGCAAATCTAAAATTTGTATTATGTTTTTAGTTTGGAGGAGGGTATTTTACTGCTTGTATTGAATCTAATCTCCTTTTTAACTATAGAGTCATAGGTCTATGACAGGAGGAAAAATATGTTTACAGAGGGACTTAAGAAACTACAGGCTAGCAAAAGCAAGAACAATCTTTTCTAAAAACATGATGTGAACAGTATTTTCTTTCCTCTGAGATTGCTTGATTGACTAAGTATAAATGAAAGAAAATATCAAAGAGTCAAATCGAATTGATTTTGGAATCTATGTATATAAGCGATTTGCTTGTACTGTGGAAAATCTTAATATTCTTGGGAATTAAAAGCTTCTCAGAAGCTGTTTCTGCTTTCTTATAACTTTTCAAAATCTCTCAAATTTGAACATATCTGGCTTATAGAATCACATATTCTACAGTGAATCAGTTACTCTGTCCCTTTAGTGTGCAGCTGGATCATCCAACTAAAAAAATAGACATTCAGGAAGAGACTCAGTGAGTTTACCTGTGGTAACAGACAAGAAAATTAAGAAGTGAATTTAGGAAAATTTGTCCAGGAAGAAATGGGAGATTGAGAGCCTTGTGCTTGTTTTCTTATAGCACAGAATTGCTATCCCGTGTTTAGGATGTGGTACTTGCATTCTGTTAATGTGTCTTATGGCACGAAACTTTCCAGGTATAGATGGTTGTGTCTGACTGATTCAATTCAAATTGCTTGCTGTTTTCCTTACTTCTGTTTCATAAAGCAATTAAGGAAAATTGCAGATACTTTATCAAGAAACTAAATTAAATACTCTGTGTTGGTTTAACTTCCTCCACAGGATTCAATTGGCATATTAATATTGATTTTAATGGGCTCAAAGAACAGACGCTGGCAAGAAGTTAGGCCTTTCCTCCCATCACTTTTCCTCACTTTACTGATGTGGTTATGGTAGCTCTGCAGCTATTAGTGATTCATGAACGATAGGGAAATGCGATCTGCACTACTGTGTGTAAAGGGCATAATCAAATCTCTTTCCTAAAGGCATGCTCCAGAAAAGTGTAGGACTTGCAGGTGAAGCAAATCAAGTGCTCAGATTTCACAATAAAATTGAAAATGTGTAACTTCCGTTTGGGTAATCCATATCAGAAATAAGGGGTACTGGAGCTCCCTTCAGCTTACAGACAAGATCTGGAGGAGCTGTGCAGCCATTTTGAAAAGGTTTTGTACACTCTGTACCAACCAGCTTGCTTTGTTGGGCCGAACTGTCTGCTTAGAGCATCCCCCCAAAAATGTCCACATGCACTGGTACAAAAAGGTCTTCCAAACTGTGCTCTGTGGCCTTTGAAGTTGGTGGAAGCCACGTGTGTGCCTTCAATGACTCATGGATGTTTTCATGTGTACCTGTACAAGATCTCCCTCTACCTAGCTGTTGTGCTTGCTTAAGTAATACAAAGCACAACTTGCATACCCTTAAGGGTAAAAACCAGTCTGCACCATGTTCAAATAAGAGACAATAAGCAGCGGAAGGTGAATGTCTTGAAATAAAGCATAACGTTGCATGCACACAAACTTGCTTATTTGTATTCTGTCTTAATAAAGAACAGTTATAACCGCGGTGTTGGAGAGCATGATCCTAGTGGGGCATGTGAAATCTGTACAATCAACTTTCGAAATTACTATTTTGTAGTAGAACTTGAATACATTGTACAGTATAACAAAAGTGTATGTGTGTGTATATATATATATGGTTCTCAGTTGCAATACATAGTTAATCAAAATGTGAAAGTCGAGGTAATTGCTTTATTATAATATTTGATGGGAAAAAAAAAAGTAGAAGTTTCGAAAAAGGAAAACTAGGCTGGCAAATAGGAGATCTTTCAAGCAATAGCAGTTGCTTTGAAGAAAAGGCAGAAGGCTGTAAATGAGGTTATTTAATGGATGAATGGGGTGGAGAATGAGGAAGTGAAGGTAACAGAGGAACAGAACCTTTGAGGTAATCTTGCAAAGCTCAAATATGACCCAGAAGTTGGAGGGAAGTCAATCTGGATAAGCTTGAAGTGGAATACAGGGAGAAGGAAAAATGCAAGGGATGGTGAAATTGTGGTTTGTCTCACTTCCAAGCTGCTGTGATTACATATTTCATAAAGATTAAAGAAGATAATTATGGCACCTGGGCGCTGCTGCAGAGTAGGTAGGAATAAAACTTAATTCGCACACAGTATACTTACAGTGCTTTTTCCTCTTGAAAAAAAAATGTGATTCTTATTGCTGTTGCAACAAAATCCATGAACTCTCTTTAAAAAAAAAAAAAAAAGGCTCAGGTGAGGGGGGAAAAAAAGGCACCAGATGATCTAATGGCTGCAGAAATATGTAAGGAAGGATAAAGAAGCTTGCAGTTTAATCCTGCAGGATTACAGAGCAGTCTCTTTCCAGCCCCGTCTCCTATCAGAAATCCTATAGACGGAGGATGCAGTCACATGATTGTTACTGCTTCCTCCCCATGACATCATTGCTTTGCAGCCATACCACCAAAGAAAGGATGCTATTAAAATCTTTGGGTCTGGGCTAAATGATGTTGCATTGCAGGTAAGCAACGTTAATTCTTCGAAAAAATTAGTTTGCCAGCTGCTCGTGTGCTGCCGTCCTGGAGCTGCAGCTCTGTTAGGCAGGGTTTTCACTGGAAAAGAAAGCAGAACGGTTTCTCTGCGAGCAGAGGGTTTGCAGGTGCAGAGGCTGCTTGCTGGCTCTGTGCTGGTCTTCCGGCTGACATCCCCAGCAGAAAGGCTGCCAGCTGGAGCTTTAAAGCTGAAGAAGGCCCTTTGTCCCTGCATCTTGCTATGGCTCCTTCGTGTGTCTGCTGAACTCTGTATTTGCATGAGCAGCCATCATCATCCAGCCCTGTGGAGGGAGAGAGGGCAGCAATACTGTCTTGGTTGCATTCCCCGTTTCGTGGGATTTTTGGTTTTGCTTCGCTTAGTTTTTAACCCTGCATGCCTAAAGAAAGTTATTACAGAGAGAGATGTGTCTGCGCTTTAAAAGGAATGAGGATTAACTTGTTCAGGGGGTTAACAGATGTATTTGGGGAAAGAGGCTTTTCCTTTTTTAATTTTTGCTGACGTGGTTTGAAAGTACCTAGTCCAGCAGGTTTCCCGCATAATTTGCTGTAGCGTAGGATAGGTTTTGTTTGTCATCCAAAATAAACATGAAAAAATATTCTCCCAAAAAGACAGAGGAGATGACAAGCAGATTTTTGCTTCTTACACAAACTGCCAGTCCTCGAAAGGCTGAAAAATCCTTGCTAAATGGATTTTTCGGACAGTGGGTATTTATGTAGCAAAGTCCAAAGTCTGTTTTCTTTTCCTGGTGTGGGTGTTTAATTATGCACTCCATAAAACTTATGGAAGACATATATTTTCAGATTAAAAATGTTGACTTGACTCTTCTGTGGCTTTTTTTAATTCTGGCTTGATTTTTTAAAAATATATTTTAGGTTATTTGCAGTGCATTATTATTTTTCTTAGTTTAATACAAATGCTACAATGAAACAAGCTGATTTTTGAGCTTATACTAGTCAGAAAAGTAAAACTGCATTCCCCCCCCCATTTTTTAAGTGTTCTGATAAATATTTTGTTCCTTTGCCAGAGAATGGAGGATGACTCAGCTGCAGCTTCATCAGGCAGATAGTCAGGTGACTTTTCATTCCTAGTACGCAGGAAGTTTTCTTATTTGTCAAAATCCTGTTCTTTGTTCAAATATTTTTTCCCACTATTGAAAATTCTGAGAATTTGGCATGTCTAGGATCTCTGTATGCACACCCAAACACTCGTGGAGGAGATCTTGGATCTCCTGTGGTAAAGTTAACTAGGCTGTATGCCTTAGGGAAAGGTGGTCTGAAGTGACGATATATGCAGTCATATCAGGGTCAGAAAACATGGAAGAAAAAAAATTATAGAACCAAAACCAACAACTAAACACAACCAAAGCCAGCAGTAGTAATGAAGCATTGAAAAAAATGAAGTAAGAAAGGACAACAGTTTTTCAAAATGGAAAGCTCTAAGAAATTTTTTTTTCAGCCAAACCTCTGTTTTTACATGATCTTGGTTCAAAAGCAATACAAAT